AAATACCCACTACTAGTACTATTACACGCCGGTTCTAAGGGTTTTAGTAATTACACAATCTAATGCCTCATAGAATAAAGTATATTTATTTAAACAACTAAAGTAAATCTTCAACTGCCATTACTCCGAGAAACAACGACCCAATAATAATGCGTCATTTCCCCTTTTCGCACAATACCGGTATATAACAAAATATCAAACATTTAATAGGAACATTTACCCAAATACTCTCCAAACAACAGGCACAATCACAATATACATTCAAGTACACAATTTAGAAGTCTGTAAATATACCGGTATTGCAATTTAGTTACGGTACACAGTATTTCTTTTATTATCTGAATTTCTACCTGGTACCAATACATTAAAAAAGTTATAAACAGTGCAAAAGTAAGAGTCCCAAAAGGTAAAGGTTAAAAAAAAAATATCTGTTACCATTACCATAATGGTAATAATTATAATGTACCTGGCTCCATGCTAGAAATACAGGTACTGGTATATCTATGGTTTGTCAGCAACAAGCCCAGTCCTTAGTAAAACAATTATCAGTACTAATTCTATGCTATACCGGTATGCAAAATAAGTCATGATGTGTTTACATTTTTAGTATGATACCTATCAGTGTGTGGGGAAAGTTTATAAAATTTAATTTACTTACCTCTGAATATGTATTCACAAGTCATGTTAATGATTTTTTATGTGCATTTGATATTTGATGCTCTATAGGCCTACAAAATAAATAGAAATAATCATAATGTTCATATCTGGAATTATTATAGTCAATGTGAGACACTGTAACTATTAAAAATAATTGATAGTGATGGGTCTATTTAATGAAATGGATATTATTGTTACAGTCAATGTTCCCTTTAAGCTGCGTGGCTGCGCAGCTATCTCACAGACGCCGCGCAGCAGTTTTGAGTATCCGCGCAGCTAATTTCCATGTAAGTTTGTGTTTATGGGCTGTAAAATCTTAGAGGGAACATTGGTGACAGTTATAGTATTATAATACTGATATTGCCCCCTTACCCCCAAAGTCAAAGCAAGTCAACTGCCACACTTGCCAATAATTGGTTGGATGGTATAAGTTTAGTAAAGAGTGTGGGCCACAATGTGGCATTCCTAGACTAAATACCCCTGGAGCAAACTCTCAAAACTTGAATCAATACAACTCACATAATTTTTTAAGAGAAGCAAAAGAAGCTGTCCTTGAACTTTAAATTTAAACTTAAAATTTATTTTTAGAATTGAGTGAAAGAAAAAAAATCACCGTCATGCTGCGAGCGTCATGTGGGATGGTTGTACACAGTTAAAAATGTTTTATTTTTCGTAGGCGACACTTTTAAAATTATAGTATAGTAATCAATAAAGCGCCTATGGTGTCAGACCATCTGTAATCCTGTTTAAAGTTAAAGGCCAAAATAGGTGGCAGCAGGGTGTAGGACTGTCTCATTTAGTAAATAATCTTAGAAATACTATTTTATTTTATATAGGGTAATCTTGCAGTTTAGGTACGTATATTATTTCTGATCAAATTTAGTATTATTGCATGTAAACTTACGTGTATTCTTCATTAAATTAAATCTAGGCAGTGATAGTTAACTGATACTGAATTATTCAGTATACCGCGCTTATTTTTGTTTGTTACTAAAAAAAGCGTCTTTGAATAACCCCCAATGTTCCATTTGTTTTGTATTTTTCACCCGTAGTAGCCAGATTTTCAATCATCTATAACTATCTATAAGTTGGTATTGGTTTGTAGTTTGTAGGCTTGCTTTAAAAAAAGAATGAAATTTGAAATACATAAAAAAGGGAGGGGGGGGGGACTCAGATGCTCCGTTATTTTACAGGGACCCCCACTTTTTTTTCTTATATGGGGTGTATATAATTTATAAATGAATAAATGTAATTCCAAAGTCAAAATAAACTCCTAGGCCTAGACGGTCATGGTTGAATGGAACGAGCTGCTACAGCTGGTATTTTCTCAAAATACCCGGAACCGTTCTAAAAAAAACTTCCTGCGGGTAAGCCATAGCCGACAATATTGAATTACCCCCTGTCCGATTATTCTGTGCAGGCTCAAGCAAGAGTGGTCAGTGGTAGTGGTAGGTGTTACTGTTTATTTATATTATTTACGAAAGTTCACTTCCGCCAGTTCCGGTAATACTTTTTAAAACATTGACAATATACCGTATGTATATTATTAATTAGATCTTCTTCTTTTTTTTTTACCCCCTTTTCCAAATTATCTATCTTTACTACCGTAGTATTAATTTTTCCCCACAGATCTCTAAACAGTAACAAATTAATATATTTTATATTAACACGTAGACGCATCCAGGGCGGTACCGAGGACCTATGGCAATAGCCGATGCCTATGGCGCCCACTTCAATAAGATCTAAAATTGCGCCCCTATTCAAGCCTATTCAGACTTATTCCTCATACTAATATCAATGGTGAAACAATGGGCTCAAACTCAATGGCGCAGCTAGGCAGCTAGGTTTTGTGCCGCACGGGGGTGGGCCAATACTTTTGCCGCCCCTTCCACGAAAAAACAAAACAAAAAACGCTGTACTGTTGGCTGAGAATGCTGAAGCCTCAATTAGCATATGTCCCACCCGCACCTTCACTTTCTTAGTTAGCTACTGAGTGCACACACTTCGATGATAGGGATTGTATTCTGCGATGTTTGGATTAGTTATGAATAAAAAATGGCGAATGAACTTATTGTAATACAAAATATTCAATATGAATATGTTATATGATATTGACAAAACATTTTGAAAGTGTAAGCTATATTATTTACTATATAGGCATAGTATAGGCATGGGTGGGCCGCGCCGTTAATTAAAATAATAATTTTAGAAGATTAGGCTTGGGACCTCGAAGTTGTAGTTAAAAATAAATGTACCGTATATTATCCGTATACAGCATGTACCGGGTACATATACTTATTATAATGCAATGGTTTCGATTTCAGCAGTTCTATAATAATAATATCATTGCAAGTAGGCCTACAAGCGGCTAAGTAAAATCGATGTTACCATTTTTCCACGAAATGAAACAAGCTTTCTAAGCTATTTATAAGACTTATATCATATATCATTTTCATAATTAAGGTATTTAAAGAAAATTATGTCTGACGTTTAAATCTGCCTAGATATAAATTATAAACTGGTAGGCTTGTTGGTATTATATTAATAAAAATATATAAAATAGGATAATTCTAGCAGACTAGCTAAAATTAAAAACAAAAATATTTAACATCAACTTGTTTTCACGTGATTCTGAGTTTTGTTTTTCAACTTTCATTTGCAATGGAGAGCGCTTTCTTTCGCTTTAAAATATATAATATTAGTAATAATTAACAATATCGACATCGAGGTACCGTATGACAATACTTATATTTACTCACTTAGCTAGCGGCAGTTAGCCTACTTACTGTTAGTCGAACTACCCTTACCTAACGTCAGTTACCAAATAATTTGAATAATTTATTTAGTTCAATTGTGAATAAATCAGTGAATTACTCTTTACTGACCAATTAGTTCATTTAGTTTTAGTCACTTTTAAAACTTTTAGTGAATAAGAATAGTCTTGCACTCCTCGTCCTCAATCTCATGCAATTATTGCAATGGGCTGTGTGGCTGCAGGCAATCTTTTCTACTACTTCTACTACTACTCTTAGCTCTAGTTCTAGTAGTAGGCTAGTAGCCTAAGTCACTAAGCTGAATGGCATGTACCCGTAATGTAATGATGAAAATAAAGTTAATCTCCTCTTAGTCTTATGTCTATGACTATGTCTCATACTTTTATGACTGAGTGTAGGCCTACTAGTAGTTGCTGATATTTCACGTATTACCTACTATTACTATGTTTACTTTTCTTACAAAGTTTATTAGTTATTAGCAGGCTTTATTTGATAAATTTGCGACCTTAGTAGCAACACTAACCTGGATACCAAGACCAAGATTCAGTGATATACCGGTAATATTAATTTATCATAAGGGCCATGCACAATTACGAATGATTTCAAAAACAAATTATTTTATACAATTTTTAAAATATTTTTTTCACAATTTGTATACTTTTATTGCACATCATCACAAATTCATGCCCCCCACCCTCCCTAAATAATATAATTCTATCCCCCCCCCCCACACACACACAAGCATAATGTCTTTTAGATGGCAGCAGGCCTTTTAGGCACATGATTTTGAAATTTAAATATGATATTAATAGCTGCAAATGTTACGATAACGTCTATGACAAAATGTTTAAATTTGGTGTAAAATTCTACATCTTTTTTACTATCTTTTTTGTAGCATCTAACTGGAAATAACATGAAAATAGAAAAGGAACCTAGACAATAGTGAGGAATGGATTGTGCGGACCATTTTACTCCAAGCTCCAGGGCTTTTTTACAAAGAGTCCACCAGTCTTCCTTTAAAGGTAGTGAGATACTATTTTCGTTTAAATGACTAGTTACTAAAAAACTATCTTCTATGTTGTTGTTAAATATATAAAATGCGTTTTGCTTGGAATTGTAACATTCAAAGTTTATGTTGTTTGTGTTGGTTTCCATTGATATACTATTAAACTAAAATTAATAAATTATAAATTTGAGTAAGAGTATGACAGGAATACTAATGGGATATTATTTTATAGTGTTTAAAATTAATAAAATACAGTTGTTGGTCCAGTTTTGGAAACAAAAGCAGCTATTTTAAAAATTATATTTGTTGTCTTATTTATTCAAACTAATCAATACGTTGTATTTCTGTTTTCAGACAGAGAAGCATGCTATAAGTTGATTCAGGCTATGAAAGAAGATGCAGAGATGCATATCAAGTGTGGAAGATTTAACTATGCAGAAGAATGCTACAACTGTGCCCTTAAATCACTACATAATGCAAGACAGATAAATAAAAAAGATATGCTTTCATTGCATGATGAGGCTATATTATGGAGCAACCGGTCATTAGCTAGGTGTAAGCAAGGAAAATATCAGGATGCTTTTCATGATGCCTTACAATGTGTTCATTTTAATGCTTCATATTCTAAGGTATCCTATGTTATTTTTTATAGTGTTTGTGCATTCTGATGTAATCATTTGTATAATTATTTTTAGTCTATATAGTTAAGTACAGTGCAATGATCACAAATAATATTCTTACCGTAAACATTGATGTCTTGATTTCTTGCAGGCAAGATGAAGTATTAATTTAAATGAAACACATTTTTTACAACCAGATTTGTCTTGTCAAAGTAGTTTTATCGCTCAACCAAGGGCTTCTAACCTTTTTGCAACCTTTTTGATTTCAAACATTTCCAGCACTCCCATCTTGATTACAAAGCATATTTCCTACACCCACTTGATAAAAAATGTTAATAAAAATGCAATTAAACTTTATTTTCTGGGCCTTCCAGCACTCCCTGACACTGCTTCCCACACACCAGGGGCTGTGGGCACCCCTGCTTTGAACTGTTTTTGCTGGTATATATTTTAGAAAATAACGTGTGATTTTTTTTCTGTTAAAATTAATCACACATTTTAACTTTGAAACATTTGTAAATTATCACAGGGCTACTGGCGTGCATCTCAAGCATTGCGAGGTCTGGGTAAATATGCTGAAGCTGCCAGCCACTTGCTTAAAATGTTGTCATTGTTCCAGCCCAGTGATGATGATTTTGTTTGCTTCATGTCAGAACTAGCGATACTGATCACATTTATAAAAAGTAATTTTGGTTTATTCTGAATATTTACATCAATATTTGTATATATCATACATAATTATAACACATTGTCATTGAGTTACGGTATAAGAAAGTATAAAAAAAACCAGTATAGTTTAAATGATGCATTGCATAAAAAAGTTAAGGGAAGAGATTTTTTAAAAAATAATGTATCAAAACTGGAAAGTTTTGGTAGAGGGGCATTGAAGGAAAATAAATCTGACATAAATTCTTATGTTATAACTATTCAACAACACATACAATATATGCATTTTAATAAATATATTTCTGGACAATAAATATTTCATTATATAATTTTTAAAACTTGGCTTTTGAAAATTTTTTAAAAAGCTCTTTAAAAAATCATTAATCTTAAACTCAAAAATATTTTCAAATGTAATTTTAAAGAAACAATAATTGTACAAACGTTTTTTGTCTTTGTAATAGATATTTATAAAATATTCTATTAATTAAGGTGCAAGATTTAAATGGTTTTAACTTTTCTTGTTTTCCATTTGTCAGGTGCAAAAGAATGGAGCCTTTGTGAACAATTTAATGTTTTCACAACTGAGTCCCTACCAATTTGGAGACGTATTATCAAGTGTCTAAGTGACCATGATGAATATGAAGCTATTGGGATCCTAACAATGGGGTCCTATTACAAACCTGAAATACCTGAAACAGTTTTACACAAAATGGCAGATATCCCTGGACTCACCTACAATTTTGTTAATGTTGGGAAGATGTTGAAGTATTTAACAGAGAAGGAAGGTATTTTGTGTACTTTATAGCTAACTGAAATAATATTTGAATAAGTTCTTGCAATTTTGTAATTTAAAAAATATTTATTGGCTCAGAAACATTTGGACATCTTTTTACATAACAATTTAAACAATATTAAAATTTAAACATTAGTAATGAAATAAATCACCTTTTAATTTATACTTTCATAAGGTATTACTTTAGTAGGGAATTCAACTCACATATCTTTTTACACTGGAAAATATTCAAAACTATTACAGTAGATTTTTCTTCAAATCATGCATCCAAAAATATTCACAATTCCTAAAATTGCAACTAAAAAAAATTATTGTCCAAATAGCCTAAGCAAAAGTATGAACTACTTAAGCTTATTCATTTTTGTATGGGGTCTATGAGTTAGAAAGGATTTTTGTATAAGTTATATTTTCTGAATTTAGACTCTTCCACATAAAATGGTTGTAGAAAACATATTAAACATATTTTTCAGGTACAAAAGCATGGCATTTAAAGCTTGCTGAATTTATGTTGAAGAGAGAAGCAGACATCAAAACAATAGCAGAAGGTTTTTCAAAGCCTTTGCTTGTTGCCGTGACACAGCTCAGTATGGAAGCAGGTGATTAGTTGTTTTATGGATTTCATAATAGTATATTTGAAGCAATCATCTGCTTGTAATTATCTCCTCAAGTAAATATTTAAAGTAGAAACAAAATATTTTGGCATAATCGTCAAGTTATTCCTTTTTTAAATGACTTACTTGAAGTCTCAACTATGCATTAGCTATGTTGGCATATGCATGGATGCCACTTGGCCACACAATAATTTTAATATTATTGTGAAGTGGGCAGGCAAAATTTTTAGCTTACAGTTTAATCTTGAAGTGAATAAAACAATAGTATACCATGGCAAATATCATGTTCATTTGCTGTGTTATGGAAAAATTATGCAGCAATTTAAATTTTGAAAGAAATTATTTTACTTAAAATGAAAAATACATTTTGCTAATTAAAGCATAAAAATGTTTTTAAAAAGTAAGGGATTTTTTACAAACAGAACTTGTTAAAAAAAAAAAAAATCCAAATAGCTAAATCAAAGGTGCAAAATTTCCGAATAGCTAACTCCATGTTGAAATTAATCATTGACGTAAAATTTTTCCAAAAAGCTAACTCCATGTTGTAATTAATCATCAAGCCTGTTAACCAATGGACTGCATTTGCCTTCCACATTTTGCTCAAGCAGAATAACCTAAAATGTTAAGGTCTTTGAAAAACATTCTGCCCTCTTTTGATTGATTGTCAGTACATTAATTTTTTAATTGCTTGTTACTTTAACATGGACAAATTTTTCTGTTCCCATGATGAACTATTTCAACTGTTCCTTCTCTGCAATTTCTTTTTTGCTCTACAGAAGTGCCTAGTTTCTTGTCTTTAGCTTGGGATAAATTAACACCTGCACAGTATGATGATGCAGACCAGGAAGGCAGCACAGCTATGCATATGTATGCTAGAAGTCTCAAACGTTCTAAAAATAATGGCATAGTAAGTATTTTGTATTTAAATATCTTACAATCTTAAAATCTCTTGGTTCTGTAGCTATTCTTAACAGATGTATTTACTTCTGTGGGTGACTTGTTGTGTTAGCCGCATCCATGCTACCCCCTCCCACTATGGGACCAAGCCATTTTGACAAAGCTGTTGCAAAACTTGCCCTTTTGTCATCCAGACTCAACACCCTTCACCAAGGGTGTAGTTTTCAGATTAGGCACAGTTTGCTTGCTCTAGCCACAATGTTTACTATGTCATTGTTTTTGCCCACTGCCGTAAGGTGTATCTGGGCAATGCGACTGAACAGCGTCTTATGACAGATTTACTGAACACCTTCTAAATATTGCACAAGATAAAGTGTCTTATCTCAAAACACTTCAATTGAAGCGACCACATGGACTCTGGTGACCTGGCCATCACCGCCATTGTGTCTTGTACCAACATGCCCGCCAGGATGAACTTTGAGAACAAACTTATCCAGACTTATGGGAACTTGACACCACAAGGCATGAATGTCATGCTGTCTACTTTAAAAAATTTTCTTTGCCCCCTCCTTGTTACAACCAATCCTCGCTTCTGTTCTCTTTTGCTTATAATTACTCTCTTACCTACTAAGGGTCTACTGCATTCATCTTGTTGTCCTCTCTGCATTGCAGCTAAGTGTTTGTTTTAATTTTTAACTTGGTTTAACTGTGGTTTGTTAGTTGAAGAAGGCTTCTTTCCAACATGTTTTTTGTTTTGTTTTTTCAGGTTTTCCCATACTTAGTTTCATTTCTTCCTTTCTGTAGCTATGTAACATTTTAACATATTTGTTTCAACTCTGCAACCCCTGTGGGGCCATGTGCAGTAATGATGCAGCAGAAGTGACTGCTGTTGAAGCAGCACTGCACAATCTGCCTGAAGTCTTCACATCTTACCCCAGTAAACAAAGCTTGTCATTATCTTCTCTGATTGAAAATCAGTCTTTCAGGCAGCTGAGTACCAAAATCTGACAACAATTTCTTCTGAAACTTAACATGTTCCTATAAACTTGTGCAGTTAAGTTAACCTTACCATGGGTACCAGTACACAACACACTACACTATATCTGGAAAGGAGTGAGCAGACAAACTAGCAAAAACGGGAGCATCCAATGAACAACCAGGCATCCCTACATTACTCAACTCTGCGAAACAGATAATCATAGCTAACAAAAAAGAAGAATTGTCTCCTACGACATGTACAGGTCATAATCTTTCACCTGCTCACAGGACACATACAACCTAATTCTCACATTATTTGCATAAAACCAAACCAAAAAAAACTATCAGTCCCCTCTGTAGACATCCACATGAGACAGTAACACATCACGTCTTCACTGAACAGCCGTATGTCATATTTACCTTCCAAAGATTCTAATTATACCCCCAGCTAACATCTTTAAAGAGTCTGAAAACCCACAAAATATAGTCCCATTTGGGAATCCATTTTAATACCATTAGTGGACATTTTGTTCACATAAGTTTGCAGATTCCCTACACAATTATTTGCATTTCCCCCGAGTGCAGACTTCCTACATAAACAAAAGAATTTTGCAACCATTTCTTTTAATTTTGTTAGTATTCCTTTTCTGTCATTTTAAATGAATAATTTTAAAGATATATCAATGTATACAAAGATTTATATGAATTATTATAACAATGCAGTCTATGCAGTTATTACCAGTAGCAGTAGTTTTAATTAGTTTAAAAGGTCATTTCAATACAACTTTAGTATCTTTAGCAGACCTGTTTACTCTTACGATTTTGGCGTACAATGTATGATTTTGAGATGTATACTTTATATATACTGTATGTTTATTTTTTTACTATTAAGATAATGTATTGAACAATTCTGTGATGATATCGTAGGATTTTAAAAGTTTAAAGCGTAAACGGGTCTGCTTTAGCCCATAACTTAAAACCTTCCTCTTGTTTGTAAGATGTTTCTAGCTCTGTGTAGTAAGAAGTATAAAGTAGTACTCTCAAATGGTATGATGTTTTTTCCACTCAAGTATATGTGAAATTTCAAGTGGCACTGCCTTCCAGTAGGTGACGCAACCATCTTAGCACCGATGTCATTTTGTGTTGAATCATGAGATCAGCTTAACGTGTGATATTTTGCTTAATTAGTAACACATGAAAACCTAATGTATCACCTATTTATTACAGGTGATTTTAAATGATTTACTGAATCATGGCTGTCTCACAACCTTGAAAGATAACAGTGGAAAGCTGCCAGTTGATTATATTCCTGATTCAGAGATGGTCCGCAAGATGTTGCTGAATGCAGCTTCAAAATCAGGTGAGTGATTGCAGCTGTATCATTGATTTTATAACAGAATGTTGGATATATGAAACAATTTCTCAAATTAAAGATTTTATAAAGTTGCATTATTTTCTAAATAAAGAAATGTTTTTAAAAGACAAATTCATTGTTCCATTTTTTATTGTCAAACACCTGTTTAAGACAGCACTGTGATAGAATCCTTCAGCAAGCCGAGCAATGTTTTGATATAGTGCCTCAACTTAGTCACTATCTTGTTTTTTTTTTTTTAACCCTGTAACTGTCAAGTGCATTTCTCTGTAGGATCAAGCCATTTTTAGCATTTTCTTATGTTTGTCAAATGACAAATTACCATACTAATAAATTATTTGAGAGACTCTTACAAGTATACATTTTCTGAAAATAAATTGATCAGGGTATCTTTTATGGTATGAAAAGAATTTGTTTTATATTGTGTATGTTGATATTGGCCTTGACATTTACAGATTGAAAATTTTACTGCTCAAATTCTGCATTGAACCCAACCTAATACTTCATAATTTTTTCAAACTAGTGTAAAAATTGAGATACTAGAAGCCATAATCTTTCAGAAAATGGCAAGTTATTGGTACTTTATTGAAAATTGTAATTTTTGTGAATTTCTTTCAATCTATACCTTCAAATTTCTGTCATACAAAATACAAGGTGGAAAGCACAACATTAGTTTAAAAATTCCTTTTCATGTGAAACTATTAAATCCATTTTTTATTAATTAATACTCCAGAACATTCATGGACATACACTAACATAAATGTCTTGGAATCTTGGAGTGGGTATTTGGGATCCAATCTTTGTCTTCACTGTTTGATGTCCACCCTTTCTGAAATGAATTTGTAACAATATGACTAAGCTTAAGGAAAAAACTTGTCAATATCAGTCTCTAATGGCGCCATCACCGTTAGAGCTTATACTGTAATGACTAGCTCTTGGAAATTATTGCTTTCATTTAAATCCATTTGAAATTATTCAATTAAAGAAAGTCTGTGTTGATTTTACATTCTGGGTAGGGACCCCTCCCCAGTGTCAGACTTACTGGCATTCAAATAAAAATGGAGCCAATTTCACACCTGATTAACCACAAAACAATCCCTGATAAAATCACATTAACACAGATTGATGAAAACAATCCCTGATAAAATCACATTAACACAGATTGATGAAAACAATCCCTGATAAAATCACGTAAACACAGACTGATGAAAACAATCCCTGCTAAAATCACATTAACACAGACTGATGAAAACAATCCCTGATAAAATCACATTAACACAGATTGATGAAAACAATCCCTGATAAAATCACATTAACACAGTCTGATGAAAACAATCCCTGATAAAATCACATTAACACAGACTGATGAAAACAATCCCTGATAAAATCACATTAACACAGACTGATGAAAACAATCCCTGATAAAAATCACGTTAACACAGATGGATGATCAGCCTTCTTTGACAGTTGTAGGCTTAATTTGTTTTGTTTTTTTTAAATAAATTTTTTGTCTGTATTAACTTTCAGATAATGGAGCAATGCTTAACAGATTACAGAAACTACAAGAAGAAGGGAATGCTGCAGTTAAAAAGAATGAATGTGATAAAGCTGTTGCTATCTATAACAGAGCTTTGACCATTGCCGAGGAGTTCAAGGTGCAGTCAAAGCTTCCAGTTCTATATAGCAACCTGGCTGCAGTTTACATCAAACTTGGCCACTACCGGGAGGCTTTACGTGCAGCAAATATGAGCTTGCAGTATGATGCTACTTTCACCAAGGTTTGTTAAGAGGGTGGCCATTTCATATAGTTGCCTTTAGTAAATAATTTTAATGGGAAGCTAAACGTCACGTGCCCAGTTTCTTATCATGATTTAACAATTTAAAATTCAATCAAGAATAAAACACAACTTTGTAAGATCTCCTTTACTTTACTTGAATCAAGAGTGGTATATACAGCCACATTTTTCTTTTTATTGAAGAGCTACTTTCGCAAAGGCCAAGCACTGTATCAGTTAAAGGAATTCTCTGGAGCATGTGAGTCATATATTTCTGGATTCAACATGGCACAAGATTTCTCCTTTAAACAAAAATTCACAGAAGAGGCATCATCCTTACTTGGGCATATTCCAGGTATTATTTATGCGACAGCCTTTTTATCCACATATTTCAGACCTGTTTACTCATACGATTTTGTATGATTTTGAGGTGTATACACTATATATACTCTGTTTATTTTTTACTATTAAGATAATGTATTGAACGATTTTGTGATGATATTGTACGATTTTAAGAGTTTGGGGGTAAACAGGTCTGATATGTACATATTTAGTGATGTAAATTTAACTTCAGAAAACTTGCCACCCTTGGTGTACGCTGGGAAGCTCTATGATAGTCAGTATTTTTGTTTTCAATAACTAAATGTACTCTTTCTTTTCTCTCTTTCTTGGAATGAGCACATCAAAATTAGCTAAGATCATGTAACAAAGATGAAACGAATTTCAGCTTGTTCCCTGGTCATATTTTGTTCCCAGGTTTTTCTTTAAATTATCGTTAACGATGATTGCTGTAAATTATATAGTTTTTATATCATCTTGTGTAACTCTGCTACGGGAAATGAATTAATCAAGAGAAACAACTCTTTTGGGGCAAGTCCTTGTAAAGTTTACACTGATATGGTTTTATTCTATAAAATGGCAAGGGTTTTTTTTTTGTAGCTGTTATATAAAGCATTTTTTGTTTGTTTTGTATTTTTTGTCAACAGAAAAAAAAAGATACCAACTTTTGCCCAGAATGAGACACATGTTGGTTGGTGGATGGCTCAAACTGGTAGAGATGCTTTCACAAAATAAACTCTGGGATGTTGTCAACATTCTTTTCTTAGGACCACCTTATTATGAACCTGGTAAGAGTGTAATTTTGTCCCCTTCAATTTATTGTTTAAATTACATTTTTTTAATTCACTTTTTGAGGGAAACAGGATTTACACCGCTTCCCTGACTGCTGATGAATAAATATTTATATTTATTACACTTTGGATTTATGAATTCAAAAATAACTTTTTGTATTTAATGGCACTCTGGTTAATCATTATATATATATATCTTTTTATAATATTATGTTTTTAAAAAAAAAATATTTATGTATGTCTTACAGGCAGAACTCCTGGTGTTTTTTTAACATTTGTGTATGTCTTACACGCAGAGCTCCCGGTGTTTTTTTAACATTTGTGTATGTCTTACAGTCGGAGCTCCTGGTGTAAAGATTGGTATCATGGGACAAGAAAGTGCAAGATCTGCAGTGCTGTCTACTGTCTTTGAAATTCTACGAGATAAACCAAGTTGGAACGTGCCATTGTTAGTTAAGACCCTTCTAATACAAGGTGCCTCCCCTGAAAGTCTTGTGAATTCAGAAGAGACCTGTTTCCATGCAGCTGTTAAATTCTGTATACGAACCCGTAAGTTTACTGTACTAAGTATTTAAAAAATAATTCATTGGATCATAACAGTGAATACAAACAACCCTATCAGTGAATACAAACACACTGTTTTTTTTAAATTTAGAAAAACTATTCATTCAGTACACAGTAAAGACGATAGCTGATTCTGAGTGCTGTAATAAAAAAAAAAATTCTATAGATATTAAGCCAAAATGCAAAAGAAATTATTTGCCATGTCACAAATTTAAATTACAGCCGATCCCGCTTATCTCAACCTTGGTTAACTCGCCAACCTTGTTATGTCAACGTTTTTGAAGTGGAACCGCCCAATTCTCTCTTTCTTTTGTCTTAGCATTTTCTCCTCGGTTATCTCAATCATCGGTTATCTTGACACTTTTTGACAAACCCTGAGGCCGTCAAAAATAAATAAGGTCTACTGTATAGTCATTACTAATTATGATAATAGCACTGTGTTAATTCTACAGTTGGCCCTGTACAAAATTGCCTTAACTGTCTTTAGCAACAGAGCTAATAAAAACAAAACACATTAAGTGGCTCTATATTTCTATTTCTTTTACATGATGGTAAATATTAATTTTCCAAACTGTGAAAACTTGAATAATTAACATGTAAGCTTTCTTCTCTATGGTATAAATCAGTATCATGTCTCTTAATGGTTACCTGTGCTTACCATTAACATTTAGGCCTAAGCTTTCTTCTCTATGGTATCAATCAGTATCATGTCTCTTAATGGTTACCTGTGCTTACCATTAACATGTAAGCTTTCTTCTCTATGGTATCAATCAGTATCATGCCTCTTAATGGTTACCTGTGCCTACCATTCAATTGGTGGCATAAAAAAAAAATCTGTACTCACTTATTATCAGAGTAAAAACAATCAGATTCATCTAAGATTAATTTCAAATCTTTTTTTCTTAGCCTCTGTTACCGATCTCTCGGGTTGGTCCCATATCATTCCCTTGATTTTTACTCCTTCTGCTCCGTTGTCTAGGGGTTGACAACATTAAGAACTCTGTACCGCTACTCTCTTTTTGATGTAATAGCATGTCACTGACAGCGTACTGGAGGATAGTTAGCAGCTCAGGTCATTAATATCAACTCCTTGTTCAACGACCACAAAGTCATCTTCTACACAATGAAACCAGTAAAGGGATGAAAGAGAACAAAATCCTGAATTAATATTTATTTATAACAAACTCCTGGCTTTAACTTTTAAGGTATACAAAATAAAGTATAAGCATCTGGATATTAGGTATGGAAAAGTATATCATATTAATTATTCCAATCTCATTCTTTACAGCAACACTTGTCCAAGACACGCATTATTTTTATTTTTTTTTAATATTTTTATTTTTTTTTGCAGTTGATACACAAGTTCTGAAATGGATACTTCAAAGAGATGTGGAAAATAAAATAATATCTGCTTTAGATTCTCGGTCTCAGACACCCCTACATACTCTGTGTTGGGAACAGAGGTTTGGGGGGGTAATGAGTAGTTTACCGGTAGATATTGCTAAGATGCTGCTGGACAAGGGTGTCAGCTTAAAAGCTGTAGATCTTCAGAAGAACATGGCTGTTGCCTATGCCTTGGAGGGTTCTCAACTACATATTTACCTCAAAGAACTTTTAAATGGCAAATCAAAGCAATCTGAAGGTATTAAAATTTTTTTTATTTAATATAATTATGTTATAACAACATTCTTTTTGTCTATCTGACCAATGGTTTTCGTCTATTTTCCTGCCAATTAAAATACATTTCAAATCATGAAATCAAAGAAAATCCATCTTAGGCATTTCAGAGCTAATTTTACATGTCATACTTTTTGCTTGTAATTGTATCAGTCTTATGCATCCAAGAGTTAATAGAACTAATTTTTGTAATTATTATCTTGCCTTTGTAGCTATCTTTTAAAATAAGTTATTAAATGGCTTTTGTTAAACTAATTTATGTAAGTCCTGGCAACAAGTATTGTAAGTGGGATTAAAGAAATGAATTTTGATTGGAGAGAGTTCCAGCCCAATTATTTAGAAGTCGTGATATCCACAGGTCCTCCTGCAAGTGACAAAAAATCTTGGACTCAGCTCAAGGAAGAAGGAAACAGAGCCTTCAAATGTCTGGACTACAGTGCAGCTATACTAGTCTACTCACAGGCCTTGGAGAAGCTTAAGGTTGAAATACAGAAGAAACAAGAAATTTTGGGTAAGACAAGTTGTTGATGTGTAATAACAGCTCTCTGTCATCTCTTTAAAAATGTTTGCAACATAGATTACGAATTTCACAGCCAGATGAAAATATAAAACTCTTAGCAATAGTCTATATAAAAAGAAATCAAATTTTTTTTCCCCTAAGAATGTGTTGATAAAGAAAATAAGGAATGCAAGATGAGTGAAAACATCAAAAGAGACACGACAAATTAACAGACATGTTGGTCAAAGGCCTTCCTCAAAAAATAACAAATAATGATAAGCAGAAAACTGTCCACATTTATTTGTATACTGAAGAAGGCTTTGGGCCACGTTTTTTATTTTTGTGGTGTCTTTTCTTTTCAATTGCTCACTTACCATATTTTCCTCATTGTAAATTAAATCTCAGTCTCCCCCATTCTATAACTAATGTGTTCAAAAAAAAAAAAAAAAAACATTTTGTAAATCTGGGGAAGAAAACACTGCCACCATCAATGTGGTGATGCTTTTCATTTACAAAAGTTTAAGTTAGAATAATAATAATCTTAAAAAATAGAAGAAAAAAAAGAGTGCCTTCTAAATGGGGTCCAATTAATGGATCTGGATTACTTCTAAAGGGTGTTAGGTCATCTTATAAATAAAAATGTTACAAAGTTTCATTCTAAATGGGCTCCAATTAATGGATCTGGATCTAAACTTATTAAAAAAAAACTTTTTTTTTTTTTTCATCCTCCAGGCTTTTTGAGTGATGAAGATGGACACAGTCTTGCAGTACTTTATGGTAACCGTGCCGAGTGTCATCACAAGCTTAATAACATAACAAACTTCCTTGAAGATGCTAAGAAGAATGTGGATTACGACGGAACTTGGTACAAGGTATAGCAGCAGAAAACAGACATCTGCTTTCTTTTAGCTTATGTTACCAGGCATCACCAAAAAACAGCTTATAGCAATAACATTTTTTCTTTTAGGGTCACCACAGAGTTGGTAGAGCATTCAGGGAGAGGGGAAAACTGCCAAATGCGGTTAAAGCTTTTGTCAATGCTTATAATACATTGAAGCCAGCAGATGGGGAGCAAATGAAAAGAGTTATTTTAGCTGACCTGGTTGAGACTGCCATTCAACAGAGTAAGTATTTTTGGCTAAAAAAAAAGACTTTTCCTTTGCCCTTATTTGAATCCAACAGTGAGGTTGGAATTTTTTTATTTAAAATGAATTACATGACTTTATAAGATTCTGGGCAAATCTTCTTTGCTAAATTTGAAAATAGTTTTTGTGAATGTAAACTCTATATATACATTTTACCTTATAGAAGTTTGAAATTTTTCATTAAAAAAAAAACACACAAGGACATTGACCAAAGTTTCCCAAGAAAATTGTTTATAAATGCAAGGGTTCATTATGGCGCATACTTGAATTTAGTTTTGCATCATTCTACACTTCATCAGAGTAATAGAAGAAATGTTAATGGAAAAATTGGTGCCCTTGACAGGGTTGTGTTTGTACAAATAATAGTAATTAAATATTAATGTTTTATAGTTTTTGTGTAAGGTTTGAAATTACTTGTTTGAACTGAATCTTTTTAAATCAAAACAAAATAGGGGCCTGTATGCCGTACTGGCGACAAGCTTCACAAAAAAAAAAAAAAAAAAAAGGCATATTTAAGGAAGAAACATGTTCATATTTGAAACATCTGGCGGGCCTCAACACTTAACGTGACTGGCCACAGGTGGGCCACCCCTGATTTAAAACAAAAGTACGTAGCACATAATGAAGATAAGAAAATTACTTTAAAATACGTTTTTCATTTAAATTTTGGGGGGATCCTATAACTTTTTCAGAAGCTGGATCACATACCTTTTTGAAAGAACTTGATTTTGTATCCACTGCAACATGGTTTTATCTGGCATACGACTTTATTAAAAAAAAAGAATGGCATTTGGCTGAGTTTGTAGTCAAGAGAGCATTAGATACAGGAGTTGACAGTGAGCCATTAAACTTTACTGATGTCAATTTAGAGCATTTCTGTCACAAAGAGCTTCTGCAAGATCATCATAAGTGAGTAGTATTAACGTTTCAGTTTTATTTGTCTAAAAACTTTTTTTATTTCATTTCCAGATAATTACTTGATACATATAACCGGTGATTGATTTTCATTTCACCAGTGATTTAGGTTCTATTAATTTTTATTGTGTGTTATTAAAGCCCCCATATTTTAAAAGAGGTCAGCTTAAAAATATGAAATGGTTTTATTTCAGATGGATCAGTTGCCTGCTGATAATTTTCCTTAAATATGGTGCAGAAAAGGAGAAACTGAAGTTCCACGCTGGAGATACTTTCTTTCATGCCATCATTTCTATTGTGTCACTGACACCTAATCCTCCTCTTGCCGGAAAGGTGAAGCTTGTTGAGGACTCCCACAAGCTACTCTCATTTGTCATGGAAACATTTATTGTACCCAAGCATCTTCAAAACTTAACAGATGACAAAGGGAATACTGTGCTGCATCATTTAGCAACACTCAAGGTAATTCATTTTTAAATACTCAGTTGCTGTTCTTTTTTCCAATTTTTTAAATTGTATTTCTCTTGTATGTTGTGACATGCTAAGATGACATAGTGGATTCAGCTTCAACAGTTTTGTTTTCCTAAGTCATATATATATGCAATACTTTCTCACCTGGCCTGGTTTTTCCTGTAGAGCGTTTGGCTTTTAAATCTTCACTTTCCCAAAGTCACTCACAAGGCAGTGATCCTTTCTTACAATTTTTGTACACAACAGTTTGTAGTTAAGAAAAAACAACACTTCTCTTATTGTTAAGGTTGCCTAATATAATATAAAAGTTATATTACACTCCAGCCTAAGGTGTTGGCAAAATATTGATGTTGATACAGTTATTTCCACTGAGCCATTAATTTTACAGCTGATCAAATGGAGAAAAACGATGTCAATCCGTTATTAATGGTTTAATCGGTGATATACAGATCAACTGTGCTCATCGTTGGGATTCAAAATCCCACAACACCACACCAAATATCCTCACCATCACCCCCCACCTATCTGTGAGATAAACTTCCTCACTGTGCTCATCGTTGGGATTCAAAATCCCACAACACCACACCAAATATCCTCACCATCACCCCCCACCTATCTGTGAGATAAACTTCCTCACTAAAGACGCTGACCAAAGCATCATAAGCTTAAACTGGAGGATCTTGGTGTGGGGCTGCTATGATGTAACATGCCAGAATTTTTGTTTATTATAAAAAGAAAAAAAAAAATGTTTTTCTGCCATCTGCAAATCAGTAATTTAATTTAAAAAATGCATGTATCTCTGCAATTAAGGGGACTGACCAGATGAGAGACTTTCTGGGCGATTACCTGCCGAGTATGGGAGTGGATGTTATGGCTGTGAATAAGGACAGAAAACTGGCCATTGACTTGACCAGCCCGACAGATATCCTTCGAATTACATTGCAGAGAAAAATGAAAGGTAAAGAAATAAAGTAGAAAAATTCATTTGAATTATTTATTGTGAATTCTTCATGTAAAGCTGCTGTCAACAACATCAATGTTGCCTGTCAGTACCTCACATCAATCCATAGTCTATAGTAGAACAAGAAGACACTCACCTCCTAGCTCAAAAGAGAAGTCTGAATTGATTTACTTAAACTAGGAATGCTGTTAGAGGCTGTTCGATATGGATGGCCTGCCAACTTTGATCACATAATTGATAGCTTGGAGAAAGTATTCAATGAAGAAAGTTTAATGACAAATTTAAACAACTGGAACAAATATTATTACTTAAGTTTAATTGTTTCATTATAAAATGTAACTCACATGAATACATCACCCAGGGATTTGAAGGGGGAAAAAATGGGGTTAGGGTGGGTTCATCTTTCATAGTCAGTGATGTCATATTGGTGGAATTTTTTATGGTGCGACTTTATCCCAGGAAAAGCAACTGTTTCCCAATCAGCAGATCCCCACTCTCCATCCAGCTGGTGAACCCGAAAGGTAGTCAGCACAACTTGACATCAAGGGCATCACTGGAGTTGCCAAAATTTTGATTAAGTAAAATGCCATGCTGCCTGCAGGACTCCTGGCTTTTTCTTTTTAAGTGATTACTCCCATCATCTGAACCTTGAGGACCGTAGCCTCAAGGTGGTGGAGGTTTGTGGTTGCTCAAGGCGGTGGAGGTTTGTGGTTGCTCAAGGCGGTTTGAGGTTTGTGGTTGCTCAAGGCGGTGGAGGTTTGTGGTTGCTTAAGGCGGTGGAGGTTTGTGGTTGCTCAAGGCGGTGGAGGTTTGGGGTTGCTCAAGGCGGTGGAGGTTTGTGGTTGCTCAAGGCGGTGGAGGTTTGTGGTTGCTCAAGGGGGTGGAGGTTTGTGGTTGCTCAAGGGGTGGAGGTTTGTGGTTGCTCAAGGCGGTGGAGTGGTGGAGGTTTGTGGTTGCTCAAGGCGGTGGAGGCTTGTGGTTGCTCAAGGCGGTGGAGGCTTGTGGTTGCTCAAGGCGGTGGAGGCTTGTGGTTGCTCAAGGCGGTGGAGGCTTGTGGTTGCTCAAGGCGGTGGAGGCTTGTGGTTGGAGTTTTCCCTGTCTTAGTTGAGCCACTGTCTGAGGCAGACGAGTCAAAGCCAAGCAAAGTGCTGGAATTTATTTGATTTGTCTTCAACTCTTCAAACCGTGCAGTTATGATTCTGTTAACTATTTTGTTCCTTTATATTTCAGAGGGCAACCACATCAGAGAACAAAGTAAAGGACGAGAGCGGAAAGCCAAAGAGGAAAAAAAGGTGGAACAGAAAAAGGAATCGGGGGATGTGAGAAGAAAAGTGCAGGAGAACAAAAAGGCTGATGAGAACCAAACCAAAAAACCCAACACAGACGATGGGAAGAAATCAAAGCCTGTTAAGCAAAAGTCAAAGGGTCCGTGCGACCAGTGTGAAATCAAACTGGAAGAGGCTTTGGCTCAGCAGAAGGAAGAGAATTATGAAAAAGGTAATACTCATCTACAGTAGTGGTTAATTATTTGGTTAAATGGTTAAACAAGGGTCAAATTTTCTATAACAAGGTAATGAAATTTATTTTGAGTTAAAACTAAAGAGCATGTGTATTGGAGCACGTCACTTATCTCTGTTGGGGGGAGACGATATTTTCTGAAGAATTTAAAACCCAGTTTTTTAATATTTTTTCATAGCCTACCTGAGCCTGGTAGAAGTGATAACTTCTCCCCACAGCACAGATGTACGCCATAAATCACTCAGGGAGACAAGTCTTCAACGTCTGGCTGCTCTTTTATCATGCAATGTAACCAGAGGTAATGCATGCGGGGACCTTTGCAATAAAAATTGGAATTTTATTTTCTGTGTTAAAAATATTATGGAGCAGCAAGTACATTTTCTCAACAAACTGATTGTCATAATAATCATTTTGTCAGAACCATTTGGAAATTAAATTTTTAAGCAGTCTAATTTTTAAAAGACGAGTAATTGTTAGCTGCATATTTATGTTAAATGGACAATTTTTGGCATGTAAAAACATTATTTGGTGTCAAATCTTCTGTGTGTACTAGATTGTTTAATTCATCAAGATCTTTCACATGTTGTAATTTGTCGTAATAGCAATGAATCAACTCAAGTCCTTTTTCAAAATAAATGCAACTTTAATATCTAATTAGATACACAGACTGTTAATTCCATATACACATGTATAGCGCAGCTCGCTATCACAGAGAAATAAAACACAACCTTCTTTCACAAAGTTTCTTTCACGACTGCTACACGACTAAAACATACATCACAAAACAGACTAGACACTACGTCATAAAAAGCATAAAATACGTCATTGCCAAGTCTAGCGCAGGAAGAGCTTTCACTAATTCCCCTCTCAAAAACACACAGCTTGTAATCAAACACAATATCTAGTTGCAACAATTATTAATGAACTCCCATACTCGACATATGGTCAATTATAACAATAGTTGTCCATCGTGTAATATCATTTATGGGTGAAAAAAAATTGGTTAAAATAAATCTACATATGTGGGGGGTTTTTTGTTGTTGTTCTCAATACCTTGTTTATTCTTAAGCAAACTTATCACAAAATTCTGTGTCTTTTGATCTCCTTATGATTTTATTAGAATCCAGCTTTAAGTTCAAGCTTGTATACTCTCATTGATTTTTCTTTCAGACATTCCAATAATCCTGGTGAGTCGTTTGAACCCAGAGGGCATTAAAGATCTGCTTGACCAGTTGGCTCAGCGTAAGAACTGGCGGCTGCTTGAAATGTTGGTCACAAAAACTAGGATGGCTGGCAAGGCCAAGGCGTTGGCCAACTTTGCCCGATCGATGTCTCTCCTTGACGCCATTGTTGAGCCGTCTGCTGATGGGTTGGAGTCCACCAAGATCGGGCTCATAAACTTACTTCAGACCAATGGGGCCAAGTTTGACAAATCAACTTCGGCAGCAGCTTTAGAAACTTGCATGAAGAGCTCGGAATGGAAGGTAGGGCAGATGATAATAAAAGGTTTATGGGAATTTTCGGTACCTTCTTCTTTACCCATTGTATATTGTAAAGGATCATTTCTATCTAATTATTCAAATCATCAACTAAAATACTGTTAACATTCAAATGATATGACCATACATTATTTAGTTTGGATTTCAAGTAAAGAAATTTTTTTTTCATTTTTAACAAAATATTTCTATTTAGGTAGTGTTAAAATTGTTGACAATGGGAGCTAATCCCAAGGGTATTACCCTGACACCAAATGACACCCCGAACCATGCAGCACTTCAAGTGGCATTGGTCAAAGAGCCAGGTAATTTGATTAGCTGTAACATGCACAAAATGATTTTTCGTGTGTTGTTTGATTTATTATTCATATAAATTTAGTCGAAACGGATTAAAATAGCATTTTTAATTTTTGGTATTATTATTTTGTGCAGGTAACTTCAGTATGATGATTTTATACAGGTTAATTTGGTATTATGAATATGTACAGGTAACTTGGGTATTATGATTTCATACAGGTAACTTCAGTATTATGGAAGAATTGAGAACCATTTATGAAAAAGATAATGCTTCCCACCCATACTTGAATGTCTCCTGCATTGATGAGGATGGCAACACACTGCTCCATCTTGCTGCAATGGTAGGGCAGTGCTCTCACCTTTAGGGGGAAAAGCTGTGGATCTGACTAGGATATTATATTGTGCATGATGTGAAATATTCAATGTTTTTTAATGAGTTTTTAATCTGCATGAGTTATTGAGCTAAAATAGTTTAAATATTTAAGTTAAATCCAGTTTTTAAAATAATGTTATTATGGCTCTGGAAACTGAAAAGTAGAAAACATACTATTTGACTAGAGCATGCTACAAAATAGGTTTAGGAGTAGGAATTACTTGGGATTTTGTTAGAGAGTGAAAAGTAGAAAACTTACTATAATTTGACTAGAACATGCTACAAAATGGGTTTAGGAGTAGAAATTACTTGGGATTTTGTTAGAGAGTGAAAAGTAGAAAACTTACTATTATTTGACTAGAACATGCTGCAAAATAAGTATAGGAGTAGGAATTACTTGGGATTTTGTTTAACAGTTTTTTTTATACTCTACATGATGTTTTGGCATTGTCATGATCATTTATTTAAAAAAAATTTAATCTTGCAAACAATTTTGCCATTTTAAAATTGATTTTAAGTTATACTAGGTCCTAAAAATTCTTGTAGTAAAGTAAACAAAATTTAAAATGCCTAAATAAGAATAATAATGTTCTGATGAACAACTTTTTTTTCCCCCACTTTGTAGGCCAAATTCAGCCAGCACTCTCTAAGAGCTGTGGAAATGCTGTGTGGAAGACATGCCCCAGCAGGCGTACCAAACAAGGAGGGTAAGCTCCCCATTCAGTGTCTGCCCAGTCTCACTGACAGAAGATGTCAGTACCTCAAAAATGCTATGGGGAGACAAGGTGTGTCAACTAGGAACTTACCTGGCAAGGTGGCTGGCTCCAAAGATCAAACAAAATCTGGCCCGCCCAAAGAAGGCCCAATCACTGGAAAAAGAAACATTGAGGTTACCCTGGTTATTTTTCTATGCCTAGTTTAGTCACATTTTGACTGAATCTTTAACTGTACACCAAGCTTGTCCAGCAAATTTAAATTAAATAGTTCACTATACAACTTGCTTGTCCGACACAGTCAGCTTGATACAACTTTAACACAAGGTTATGCCTTGATTTAAAAAAGGGTTGTTTTGTTTTAAATTTTTAAAATTTATAAATGGATGTTTCTATTATTTTAAAAAAATCTTATAGGATATTCTATGGAAATCTTAAACAGATAAAATACCTTTTTTTTTAAATTTCCTTATTGTGGTGATATTAAAATATACATTTTCAACAGGCTGCAAGAAGCACGGCTGAACAAATCCTGAAAGAAATCCCAGATGTTAGCTTTGATTTCCTGCTTGAAAAGGGGGATAGCAAAGGAAACGCAGACCAAAACCAACAAGATTCTGAGGAGGAGGAGGAGGACGATGATGATTCTGAGGATTCGAGTGCTGAGACATCAGTGTCTGAACAAGAAAGTAAGGAAGAATCTCTTTTAGTTAGACTTGTACACTCTGGAAGGAACAATCTCTTTAGTTGGATATGTACACTCACGGAAGGAAAAATCTCTTTTAGTTAGACATGAACAAACATGTAAGGGAGAATCTCTTGTTGTTAGTCATGTACAAACACCATTTAAGAAACTAAACTTTTTATTATGGGCCTTGGAATTATTGCCAGAATTCTGGATAGTCAATGGATCCAGGCTTTGGTGGGTAGAGGGGCTAATGAGGCTACTTCCCTACTGAACCTGCCACCCTATATCCCATCCAGATGTTGGTGGGTACATGCACCAGTGACCTTACTGCCCTACTGAACCTTTCCACCCCATATCCCATCCAGATGTTGGTGGGTAGTGGGGCCAGTGACTTTATTGAACCTACTGCCCCATATTCCAAGAAGTTTCTTGGATTTATGGGTAGAACATTTGAAATATTGTTAATCTGTTGTATAAATGCAATCATGAATTGTTAATACTTTTTTTAAAATCTTAGTTTTATTGGTTTTTATATTTGATTGAACAGAAAGTTTCACCAAATTAACTGATGCATATGATATTCTTTTCCTATCGATAACTGATAATATTTCTGTATCTTTTGTGTGAAGATTATGATTTTGATGGGGGAAAATCAAGTGACAGTAAGGAGGATCATTCAGAGGAGGGCAGTGTGGAACTTGATGTTAAATCTTTTGATAACCTTGAGTGGGATGTGGAATGTACAGGTAAACAAGATGTGTTTTAAGAACAAACTGCTGGACAAGTTGTGGTGACATGAGGTACAAAAATATCTGAATAAGTTCTAGTAAGTGACATGATGCACTATTAGGTCTTGATGTGTTCTAGTGACATGATGTACAATTAGATCTGGATAAGTTTTAGTGACATGATGTACAGTTAGATCTGGATGAGTTCTAGGGATATGATGTACTATTAGGTCATGTATGTTCTAGTGATATGATGTACATAGTGACATGATGTACAATTAGATCTGGATAGTTCTAGTGACATGATGTACAATTAGATCTGGATAAGTTTTAGTGACATGATGTACAGTTAGATCTGGATGAGTTCTAGGGATATGATGTACTATTAGGTCATGTATGTTCTAGTGATATGATGTACATAGTGACATGATGTACAATTAGATCTGGATAGTTCTAGTGACATGATGTACAATTAGATCTGGATAAGTTCTAGTGACATGATGTAAAATTAGATCTGGATAAGTTCTAGTGACATGGTTGACAGTTAGGTCTGGATAAGTTCTGATGAGTGACATGATGTACAATTAGATTTGGATAAGTTCTGATGAGTGATTATGATGTACAGTTAGATCCTGATAAGTTGTGATGAGTGACATGGTTTACAGTTAGATCTGGATAAGTTCTGATGAGTGACATGATGTGCTGTTAGATCTGGATAAGTTCTAGTGTCATGATCTACAGTGGATCCAAACAATATGTTCATATATTAACTTATCAGTATCATGCAATCAAATTAATTTTATTAGAGGGCCATTTTCAAATTAAAAATGAAAAAATATATTATTAATAATTTTATTAAAATAAAATTAACAATTGAAGAGGAAGTTTGGAGTCTGCTAAGAAACAGGAAAGAAAGATTGGCCCCTAAAGACAGCAATTCTGGAGAAAATCAGAAGAAGACCAGGAAGGAGAGAATACCTGACTTTTTGAAAGAAATTATTGTAAAAAAAATTCAGCAGCTTGCATCTGGTGACTGGAGGCCCCAGCTGCAGGTACACACAATTTTATCCCAAAGATGTTTTATCAAATTTTCATTTAATTTTAAGTATATGTGGACTAAAACTTTTATCAAGAATATTTGAATTTGATGTTATTGTTTTTCAGTGACTTTCTGATTATAATGTTTGTAAATGAGAAAATAAAATGAATAGCAAAATAATATACAATATAATTTTTTCAGAGCCCAATAAAAGGTGTCCCTGATACCCTGCTGTTGTACAGAATTCTTTTACCGCAAGGTGCAAGTTTAATATGGGAGCTGGCTGTTGCATTTTCTCCCCGACGCAGTGAAACCGCAGAAAGGCTCTTGGCCACCGGGGCCGGTGAGGACATGTCGGCAGTGAAAGGAGGGCGGATCTACTCTGAGTTGATCAGAATTTGGACTGTCGTTCTCAAGAACTCGGATCTGAGGAGGGCGGTTCGAAAAATTGTTAGCGCCCATGAAAAAGGGAAGAGCTGCATCATTCAGGTGAAATATCGCAAACTATTCTGACAAGGATAGTGCATTTTCAAACCCTTGATTTCACATAACATTTTCCCTTTTTTTCCTATTCCATGCTCAGTAGAAAATAATCAAATAATGTACAGTTTAAGTTGATCACACCAACAGACTGGATTTAAAACATGCAACAACAGACTGCACAATATAATCACAACTGCACAATATAATCACACCAATAGACGGTATAAAAAAAATGACAACAAGAGGTGGTACACAGTAATGACACCAACAGATTTAACATGATCTATTTGAATTTACATTCAGTTATTCAAAACTGCAAACGGTGTTAAATGTTGATCACATTGATATCCACTAATCCACTTGTTCTCTTGTCCTTTTGATTGACAGAAAAAGCTCCAGGGTCTGAGCAGTAGCCAGTTCTCAGGCAAAGAGGTGATCACTCGTTTCCCGGAGCTGTACGTCGAGAGAAGTTCTGACCACTCTGCAGTCCACATGGAGGTCCAAAATAAGTTTGAAAAGCTGCTTTTCCCTCCAGCAAGCACCCACAAAAATGAATTCCACATTCTAAAATTTTACTCCTTCTCCTCATCGCTGGTGTCGGCCATACTGAACAACTCAGACACCAAGGTTAGGAGTCTCATTTCTGTTTCAGTCTATTTTTCCTTCTACATCAGTGGTTCTCAACCTTCTTAATGCCGAGACCCTTTAATACAGTACCTCATGTTGTGGTGACCCCCAGCCATAAAATTATTTTCATTGCCGCTTCACAAATATGTGTTTTCCGATGGTCTTAGGCGACCCCTGTGTAAGGGTCGCCTGACCCCTCCCCAAAATAGGTCACGACCCACAGGTTGAGAACCACTGTTTTATATGTTTATTGTAGATCAGAAAAAAGGCATGGGAGCTGAGGCAGCACAAACAAAAGTGTATGTCACAGTTGAGAAACCAATGGCTCTCTACTGGTCATTTCTTAAATGATAAAGTTGAAGATATGTTTTTTAAAGTTTTCAAATGCTTGTCCTGACATTTCCGAACGTATTACTTAAAGTGTTGAAAAGTTTCAACTGCAAACAAATTAGCCAATAGAAATACTGTTTGCATTGTCATATTTTGATACATGTCTATCCAAAGATAAGGTCTTTTTTTTAATAATGTGCTGCCACGTTGATTGATTGTGCATAATCAGAAGTTTGTGAATTGTTTTCTTTCATTTCTACTAAGACATTATCTGTATCAGCATTTAAATTGAAACTTTAAGAACTAACAAAATTATTATGAGCTGGAGAGACCAAAGAAGCAACTTCATAAACCTTATTTCTTTTAAGTTTTGACACTAGAATGATCAAATTTTACTTTTACTTGAACCATTTACTAGAGATTATATTTTGGCTTGTCTAATAGGAAATCTTAGAAGCAGCATGAAAACCGAATAATTATAGAAAAATTATGGGGAACAAAAATAACGGGAAAATTATTAATTTCTGCATCATGTGATTGCAAGGTTATTATCAATTTGTATTCTATTTAGATTGACTTTCCATTTCGGGTCACTGACTTTGAACATGCCATCATCAATGTTGACTCCAGCTCGCCTCTTCTCTTGCTTGGTCGTAGCGGCACAGGGAAGACAACCTGCTGTTTGTACAGACTTTGGAGTGTGTTTCTCTGTTACTGGGAGCAGGCAGTGAAACATGGACGCCCCTTGTTGCCTCGAAGTGATCTACCTGAAAATTTAGACTTTGGTATGTCTGTCAGCATGTCCACACCCATTGGAAGACAATCCCATTTTGCCACTCAGTCCCTTGTATGTCTGTCAGCATGTCCACACCCATTGTAAGACAATCACATGTTGCCACTCAGTTCCTTGTATGTCTGTCAGCATGTCCAGACCCATAGTAAGACAATCACATGTTGCCACTCAGTCCCTTGTATGTCTGTCAGCATGTCCAGACCCATTGTAAGACAATCACATGTTGCCACTCAGTCCCTTGTATGTCTGTCAGCATGTCCACACCCATTGGAAGACAATCCCATGTTGCCACTCAGTCCCTTGTATGTCTGTCAGCATGTCCAGACCCATTGTAAGACAATCACATGTTGCCACTCAGTCCCTTGTATGTCTGTCAGCATGTCCAGACCCATTGTAAGACAATCACATGTTGCCACTCAGTCCCTTGTATGTCTGTCAGCATGTCCACACCCATTGGAAGACAATCCCATGTTGCCACTCAGTCCCTTGTATGTCTGTCAGCATGTCCAGACCCATTGTAAGACAATCCCATGTTGCCACTCAGTCCCTTGTATGTCTGTCAGCATGTCCAGACCCATTGTAAGACAATCACATATTGCCACTCAGTCCCTTGTATGTCTGTCAGCATGTCCACCCATTTGAAGACAATCACATGTTAACACTCAGTCATGGTTTCTTTTTTTTTTATAAACTAATCTGGATTTCATTGATGACAAATTTCATCACATTTAATTTAGAAAATTACTCAGGTCAAAAGCAAAAATCTGTTGAAATCGATAAAATTGAAACTTGTGCCATTCAATCCTTTACCAGATAACAATCCTGAAGAAACAAGTGCTCCTAAAAATGAGAGTGCTGTCCCTGCTCCGGACAGTCATGAATTTCTGGATGATGTGTCTGATGATGACAGCAGTTCTCAAGCTGATGCTGATGATGACCATGGCACCTGGTTTGAGCATCTTCATCAGGTACATCCATTATACCTGGGAACATGCGCTGTATTATATTGTAATAATAATCATAATTATTATCAACTTCTATACTTTAATGGTTACTTTTAATGGTTATACAAATAATATTTATATATACACACACACACACACAGACAACAGGAACTTACTTTGCTATTATAGAAGGTTTCTTAAAGAATTTGGAAATTGTACGGAAATAAATAAGATCATGTTGACATTAAAAATTATATATTTTTTTTTTTTATGGTCCTGTCTGCAGGTATTCGTAACAAAAAATCCAGTACTGTGTACAGAAGTTGAAAAAAACTTCCTCAAACTTAGACATGCTTCAGCCATTTTACTTGAACACAACAGCAGAGCCACAAAATCTTTACCCAACACATTGCAGGTGAGATCACAGTTTTCTTCTTCTCATGGAGTTTATTCAATGAAATTAAGACAACTCAGAAATATGTAGTTATTTTGTGTATGCATTTTTTAAATATTTTTTTTTACTTCCTTATTTAAACTGTGTTTTTAACAAATCTTTTCAACGATATTGTTATAATATATATATATTTATATATTTAAATTTTTTTTTTTAAGTTCGTTATTTAACTAAGCATCATGTGTTAAACTTTTTCAAACAATTGATAGATATTTTGCGTTTTCCACTTCATTATTTTAACTGCGTGTTTAAAGCTCTTTTAAGCAAAAAATCTTGATTATTTAAACTGCATGCTTCTTTGAAACAATCTCCGCCATCAGGAGGTGGATGACCTGTGCTTCCCATTGTTTCTAACTTCAAGACAGCTGCTCCTGATGCTGGATGCTTCAGCTGACGGGGAGCCATTTTTCCCAAGGGATGAAGATCTGGCTCTGAAAGTGGACATCCCTGGTTGGGGGACACAGGAAGACATATTTAACATTGCTCCACTCATACATGACTTCTTAGTAGACAGTTCTGAGGATGAAGAAGATGAAGGTAATCTTATGAAAAACTGATGAAATTTGGTATATTTCCAGTTTGAGTTTATTTTTGTCACTTACATTAATGTTATCGCTTTAAAACTTCATTTGATCTTTTTTATTTGTTAAAATCATAATTTTTTTTAAATACCGGGTTTGAAATTTCATATTAAAAAAGTCTGGCGCTCATTACTATTAAATAAAGAAAGAACTCTCTTTAACTGGGCTTTTTATATTGCATACATTGTTCATTTTGTAATAAAAATTCATTCTTCTATTCCAGGGGTCGTCAAACTTTTTAAACTGTCCCTCAGACACTATGGGGACCAGACTATAGTTTGAAAAAAAAAAAAGAACAAATTCTTATGCAAACTGGCACATATTTGTAGTGCTAAAATAAAATAGGAAGAATAATGCACTATTTAAGACCAATTTCAATCAATATAAATCAATCAATAGTATTTCAATAGGAGGTATGGGCCTGCTTTTTGCTAATGCAATGGTTAATGTCCGGCTCCATATTTGTCCCTGCTATTTGTGCTCTCCAGGCTCCATACCCTTGTTGGTCCGGATCTTGCTGCAACATTAGGACCTCTGTTCTATTAGGACACAATACATTATTTAACCGTTATGTAAATTGTATGAACCGTATTTTTATTAAAATAATATTCAGGCCTATATCAATCTTTCACGTACTTTTATTCTATCAAGGCTCAGTGAGAGTGAAAAACATTCAACATAATGGGGCAAGGTCCAAGTTGAAGGCTGATCCAAGGAGAGAATGTACCTATGAAATTTTTTCTGAAATTTGGCCAAAGGTGACCAAAAAAATTCAGGTAATCTCAGTCTTGCTCATAACTGGCAGACAATTTGGTGTTAATGTCTATGTGTTAAATTTACTGTAGCTACTAGTCACAAGAGAATTACTCATTTGATTACCTACAGAGTGGGAACACATAATGACTGTAATTTTGGATTAAATCAAATTCAAAATACCATAATTTATATTTTTATTCTTAAGTTAAACCCAAAACTTAAATAAAAATTGAGAGTATTCAATATAACTACTACATTATTATTTGGTAATTTGTAATTATTTTTTTAAAGTAGATGCAGCAATCCAAATAAATGAATTAGGCCATTTCCTTTGTTTTTTATGCCCTTGGGAAAACTATGAAATATTCCCTCTGATGTATTCTGCCCTTGATAAGCTAAGCCATGAGATACTGAATTAGGGTAAAAAATATCCTTTTTTTATAGTCTTCTAAAATTCCTATTTCAAATATCAAATGGGGCGCTGATAATCCTCACAGAGAGAATGCCATCGAAGTTCTATTTGATTTATTTCTTTTTAAAAACTTTTGTTGCTTGAATCCATTACCACTGGTAGGATTGAGGATACTGAGAATCTGAGACAAAAGTGCTCTCAGCATGGTCACAGTCTCCCCCCATATTTATTTTTAATATTTAAGCAATTTTTAAAAAAAAATTGATGGTGTGAAAAGATTATAGTTCCTTCCCTATCTAAAGGCTAATGTAATTACTTATTGTTTCATTGCCTCCTTTTCTAAATTATATATTTTTAAAATTTGCTTTTGTTTTATGTGTCAATTCTTTACTTGCTAGATTGACTGTCATCCATCTCTTGTCTGGACGGAGATCATGTCTTTCATCAAAGGATCATTTGAGGCCCTTTACACAGAGAAAGGCTATTTGGAAAAAAATCAATATTTGGAATTGGGTCGGAAAAGAGCTCCCAATTTCAGCGGGGACCGCACGCAAGTGTATGAGGTTTTCTTGCGATACCACAGCTACAAGCAGCAGCACTTCCTGTTTGACGAGGCAGATCTTGTCTTTAAAGTGTACACCAGACTTCGTACTGTTAGTATTTTTTTCAACGCATAAATGGCTTAAAATGTTATTAGTATATGCATCGTTATTATTGAGTATATTAACAGCCGTTTGGGAAAGAGGTTTATTGCCTAAATTTTTACCTTATGTATGAATAAATAAATAAATTAACAACTACTTCCTACTTACCTATTTTTATAATAATTAAAAAAATATAAGAAGCTGCTTTTTTTTCCCTGTGCAAGTCGGGAAGGGGGTGGGGTGAGGAAAGGGTGAATGGGTGACTGTTGTGAATGAGAAAGTATTTTATTTTCTTAATAATTAATTTCATAAGCATCACTGCATTTTGTAAGTCATTTTTGAAACCATTTGAAATTAAATATAAATAAGTACATTTTTAAAAAAATTACCTTTATGCTTTGGCTTATCTAAATTGGGCAAATGGTACTTATGGCAAGCTCTGAATTTTGGTCCCTGTCCAAACATCCTGGTAACCATTACTGCTGCAGTCAATCCTGCTCTAGGCAACCATTTTTTATTTACCTTAAATCTAAAATAGTAAATAATCAATTCTTTAACATTTCTAACTTGTTTAAATATTGCTGCAATTAATTTGTTTCTTTCCTTTTGAAACTCTCCTTTGTTTGTAGATGACTTACTGCCCCTGGACTTTCCATGAGATCTATGTGGATGAGACCCAGGACTTCACCCAGGCTGAACTGGCTCTCCTTGTCTCACTGTGCTATGACCCCAACAAAATGTTCCTCACTGGGGACACTGCTCAGAGTATCATGAGGGGGATTTCTTTCCGCTTCAGTGATTTGAGAGCATTGTTTCATTATGCTAAAGAGACTGCAAAAGAGAATGAAAAATATTTGGCAAAAATTGAGGTATGGATTGCCTGAACAAATTTTTCCACTCAAAATATTATTATTTTAAAAAAAATTGATCTATGGTTTAAAATGCAGTATTATTATCAAATATTTATTTAACTTATTTAATCAATGTTTCTTTTTTTAAGAACTTAAGGACATCTGGGGGTGGATTTGCATTTAAATACTTGGTTATTAAAGTTTTAACAAATTAGTTGATTTAAAAAATAAATTTAAAATATTTTTATATCCTTTCTAATAAGTCCATTTGATTAACATAAGCTGAACTTCTTTATATTTCCAGGTTCCTAAAAAAATCCACCAACTTCGTCACAACTATCGGTCACATACAGGAATTCTCTCCCTTGCATCAGCTGTTTTGGACATACTCACAGAACTCTTCCCAGACTCTTTTGACCCTCTCCAGAAAGACCAGGGCATGTTCGCTGGTCCCAAGCCAGTCATTATTGAGTCTTGTAGTCCAGGCAAGAACTTTTGAGAATTTTTTTTTTCATTTCAATGTGATGTTTCCATTCACAGATATAGGGGTGTATAAGAATTATAATGATTTTAATTCAAACAACTGGCACTGCGCTTAATCAAAAGGAAATTGTTTAAATAAATGCACAATACCTCGACATTGTCTGACAAATATTTGTGAGAATGTTTAAAAATAATAAAGAATGTTCATTAAATGTTGAACAAATGATCTGCTCTGTGTATTCTTTGGTAGTGTATCATAAACTAAACTACTGAACTTGTTGAGCTCTGATGCAGCCTCTTCTGATAGCTTAACTAAAGTAACACTGTAGTATTTAAGGTCACTTGTATAACCTTCATTTGGATAAGAAAAAAACTGTGACATCGAGAGCATTCAACTGATTGTCCATTTTAAGCAATTTTTTCTAAAGCTCTATGCATCCTGTTAACCTCCTAGTGATACCTAATGATGAAAACTTCGTGTACATAACATGTTCCATGATGGAGCCCATTTTTTTTATTTGTTTCAGGTGACCTGGCATTGCTGCTGACTGGGAACAGAAGGAAGACCTCCCACATTGAGTTTGGTGCCCACCAAGCTATTCTGGTTGTGAATGAGGAGGCCAAGACCCACCTGCCAGAAGAGTTGAGCACTGGCATCATCCTGACCATATATGAGTCCAAGGGGCTGGAGTTTGATGACATTCTCATCTACAACTTTTTCAAAGACTCACAGGTACTACTAGTTTTTTTTTTCAGTACTGGAAATAACCCGCCAAACAATAGCGGCAGCAATGTCTGATCTTCCCATCTGCCAAAGTTACTTGACAAAACATGCATTCAAGTACCGCACTTGATAAGAATCCCAATGAGTGCTAACTTCTGGGAATTTTATATTGTGCGCCTATTGAGCACAGCGTTACAACCATATTTACATAAGATAAGATAAGATTCTTTTATTGATCCAAATAAATGGAAATTTTTTTTGATTGCATTATATATTTTCAGCACAAAAATAAAACAATTTGAATCCAAGACATTTATAATAAATCATTTCAAACAGCCATTCAGTGAGTTCTCTTAGCAAAATCAGGGACTTATTAGATCTCATTCAGATGTGTGACTTCAGAGGAAGCACGCCGGTAAATTGGTACAGATTGGGGAACAAAAGAATTTTTATATCGGTCAGTCCTCGCCCTGATGGAAAGAATTCGTCCCGAACGGCCCGATCCTAAGTATCTAGGATGAAGAGGGTGGGATGTATCATCCAAAATGTGTTTAGTTTACATACATATATACCTAGAGAATTATTATTTGTTATCGTTATTTTTACTTGGACTTCTACCAATAGTTTTGTTAATTGAATAGATGAGAGTAAAATAAAAACTGACTAATCTTGGCATATAAACAGTAAAGCTTTGTTGTTGACATTTTTGTAGGTCTAAATATTTGAACACTGTTGAATTTTAAATTCCAGCTCATTATAAAAATTCATGATAAAAACAATGTTTTGGTGGGGGGTTTTTTGAATTAAAAAATAAAAATATGTTTTATGACTTGGAATGATGACATAATGTAAATCAAGTAAATATATTTACTTTTATAAGTTAATTCAAAGTTTTTACAAACAAACTATAAAGTATGTCACAGTTGGGCTTTTAGAGTCTGTGGCTGTTGTTAATAGAATTATCTTATTTGTTATTTTGATTGTTTCAATTTGAACAGACTAAAAAAGAATGGAGGGTGGTCACGGCAATACTAGAAAAACTTGCTTCAAGGGGTGATCAAGAAGGACAAGGTGATGATAATCTAGTGGAAATTGATACAGGTAAATATTGAAATGAAAATCTAGTGGAAATGGAAACAGGTAAATATTGACATGATGATCTTGTAGAAATTGAAACAGGTAAATATTGACATGACAATCTTGTAGAAGTTGATACAGGTAAATATTGAAATAAAAATCTAGTGGAAATTGATACAGATAAATATTGAAAGGAAAATCTGGTACAAATTGAAACAGGATAATCTTATAGAAATTGATACAGGTAAATATTGACATGATAATCTAGTAGAAGGTTGATCCAGATTAATATGATATGAATGTAAGGTATTGAAATATTTATGACTTCTTTAATATCTCTGTTATTTTGGTGTTTGCTTTTGAATGTTTAAAAAACCAGCCAAATTTGACACATAATTGTCCCATCTTTTTTGTTTTTGTTTCAAGATGTGCTGAGTCAAAGCAGTCGACCTCGTCCACTTCAGTTTGATCCAAACCAGCACAAAATTCTGAACTCAGAGTTGAAACACCTGTACACAGCTCTGACCCGTGCCAGGGTCAATGTCTGGATATTTGATGAGGATGAAGAGAAGAGAGCCCCAATGTTTGAATATTTTAAAGCACTGAAGCTTGTCAAGTGTATGGCCAGTGGAAGCACTGAGGACATAACTGAAGGTACTGCTGGACATTAATGGATCAATACTTGACTGAAAGTATTGTGGGGCATTAACTGATCAATACCTGACTGAAGGTATTGCAGAACATTAACTGATTAATACTTAACTGAAGGTACTGCTGGACATTAACTGATCAATATTTAACTGAAGGTGTTGCGGGACATTAACTGATCAATATTTAACTGAAGGTATTGCAGAACATTGACTGATTAATACTTAACTGAAGGTATTGCTGGACATTAACTAATCAATACTTAACTGAAGGATTTGCTGGACATTAACTAATCAATACTTAACTGAAGGTATTGTTCTAATATAAAAAAACATTCCAATGGCTACTAGTTTAGTTGGCCTGCCAGCACACATATCTAATTATTCAATCATTACTGACATGTCTTGCCTCTCTTCCCCAGAGATAATGTTCACAGAGACATCAAGTCCCAGGGAGTGGAGACTAGCGGGAGACAACTACATGAAGCAACGCTTGTACACTATAGCTGCCAAATGTTACAGGTAAGTGCTTGAACATTATACTTGCCAAATGTTAAAGGTAAGTGCTTGAACACTATAGCTGCCAAATGTTACAAGTAAGTGCTTGTACTCTATAGCTGCCAAATGTTAAAGGTAAGTGCTTGAACACTATAGCTGCCAAATGTTACAAGTAAGTGCTTGTACTCTATAGCTGCCAAATGTTACAGGTAAGTGCTTGTACATTATAGCTGCCAAAGCTTTTTAGATAAATGAATATTAGGCATAAGCCGAAAGTTTGGCGTAAACCTAAAGTATCAAAATACATAATTCTCTATATAACAATTTCTTTAACGCTACCAGATGGCGCTGGTGTCACTAAATACAATGAGAATATACGGTAAGTGTGTTTGGTGCGTAGTATTTTCATTTGTCTAACGGCAATGGTTGGTGTAATAAATCTCCTGTAAAGTGGGGGGGAGGGGGGGGACATAAGAACACCAATATAATTCATGGGGGGTGACATGGGGGGGTGGGCACTAACTGGGAATCTTAAATAGTGTTTTACTTGAATGCATGTTTTGTGAAGTAGCTTCAGTAGATGGGAAGATCTCGCACTGCAGCTGCCGTTGTTAGGGTGGCTATAGCTAGTGTAATGATAATTCAAGAAAGCTGTTACAAGACCTATAGCTGTGTTTCTTTGTCTTTTCCATAACAAATGCACTTATAAAAATATTCTTTTAAGATTTTTCTCTTTTTTGATAAACATTTTCAAGGAAAGCCTCACAACCTGAAAAAGAAAAGCTGGCAAATGCATACCAGACAGCACTGGAAGCCTCTAGAAAGAAAACATCCCCAAGAGAGATAAGGGACTTGTACCTTCTGGCTGGTACACAATTCCTCAAGTGTGATGACCTGCACAAGGCCGCTCTGTGCTTCCAGAACTCACAAGATTACCAACTTGCTGCTCTGGCCTTTAAAAAGAACGGCCAGGTTAAAAACCCAGTCTTTCATTATTTCACATTTAAACATCAACATCAGGGTTTTTAAATTACCTAACAAAACCAAACTTAAGGTCTCAGATAAGACTGTCATGTCATTGTGAGGCATTGTGAGAACAGTTGTCTAATTCCTCATAATAAATAGTGAAAAGGGATTTTTTAAAATAATTATTTTTTAAAGATAATTGTTATAGAAGTGGGGCGGGGTGTTTTTTTAAAATGGGACCGGATTTTTTTTTTTTAAATGGGACTGGGAGTTTTTTTTAAAATGGGACTAGATGCAGTGTGCTAAATATATGGCATGGGAAATGTCAAATGCCTAAGGGAACAAACCCTTAAAGAAAAATGTGTGATAGGAATTATATCAGCCAACAAATAAATGGAGGCTTGTAATCCTGGATAACTGTGTCATAGCCAAGACTATTGCAATTTCATCATATTTATGATCTTAACTGGATAGCCAGGAAAGATGTAATGCAGTCAGATCACATAAGCTTCTTGTTATGGGCTCTTTACATTACTATGTGAAGGATAACATACATATAATAATGACATAATATTACCTGCCTAGGTAGTATTTAAACACAGCAATTTTCATAGACCTTGTGGTTTTATTAATACTTAAGTAATGATGAATCACTGTCGAATATAGCCTCGGACATCTACACACATAACGGACGAAAAACAGTAATGATGACCATGGCCAAATTTCAGATCAGTCAGTTGCCCACTAAAAGCATGACTGAAAAGATCTAATGGCCCAGTAAAAAAATTGATTCGTAGATTTTGATGGCATCAGCCACATCCGTAATTTTATTTGACGTAAACAATATTCCCCGTTGTTACTATTGACAACATTGACTTTTTCCATCCTATGACAGTTGGAAGAGGCAGCTGTGCAGTACAGACGGTGTCAGAACCCAGTGGAAGAAAGCCACTGTCTAGAGGAGCTGGGATTGTTTGGGCGGGCCATACGGGTCCTTGTTGACCAGAAAATGTTTGACAGGGCCATTGACTGTTTGCACAGATATGACATGCTTGTCAATGTAAGTAGTGTAGACAGCCAGGAAATAGTAAGTGTCAATGTAAAGTAGTGTAGACAGCCAGGAAATAGTAAGTGTCAATGTAAAGTAGTGTAGGCAGCCAGGAAATAGTAAGTGTCAATGTAAAGTAGTGTAGACAGCCAGGAAATAGTGTCAATGTAAAGTAGTGTAGACAGCCAGGAAATAGTAAGAATCAATTAAATCTATAGATAGGGAAATCTGGTAATGGGTGGGTATGGACACGTAGGATCGATGTCCAGATGTGGACATTTAGGATTGGGCAGCAGAGCTGTCGCATGGGCCCTGCAAGTCCTGGTTGTAACGTGGAAAAATAATCCATCAGCCTTGAATTTTAGGAGGCACAAAATGAAAAGTGGCAGGGGTCTCCTAAAGCTATGCAACAGCTCTAAAGGGTGTGAATGGAAATTTAGGAAATGGGAGCATGGACATCTATTAATGGGTAAATACGGACATCTAGTAATTGGAGGATATGGAAATCTAGAAATTGGTTGGTGTGGACATCTAGAAATGGGTAGATATGGACATCTAGTAATGGGTGGGTATGGACATTTAGAAATGAGTAGGTATTGACATCTAGTAATGGGTAGGTATGGACATTTAGTAATTGGTGGATATGGACATCAAGGCATCAACATTGTTTTCAAATACTTTTATTTAAGGTAAATAAACTGTTGAAACTATTCATGAATTTTTTTTAAAACAGAAACTGAAACAAGAAAAAAGAGCCCTGCCGGCTGTGCTCATTGAGAACAAGCCAAGCAGTTCTGAAGAGAATCTTTGCTACAGGTACATAATTTAAACATTTTCTTATATTGTACTACAGTACTGACATTCATTTGCCTGACCGTCCTTGTGTACCGCAACTGCCCACCAGTGCTCTCTAAGGGCCAGGCGCCTATAAGCGCAAGCGCAGCGCCCTCTGAGCGCCAGCGCAGCGCCCTCTGAGCGCCAGCGCAGCGCCCTCTGGAACATGGGAATTTGAGCACGAAACAAATCAGTTCTTAGATAGCCAATTTCAAGACAAAATATCAATTTACCAACTCCATGTCAGCAATCTCTTTTTGCCTTCTCTCACCTCCGCAGTGCCGCCACACATTACTTTGAACGCAGTGAAAAGGGGAAATGTCTTGCGGCGATCAACAGAGTTCAAGACAAAGGCTCTCAGATACGATTCTTGCAGGAAAAGGGATTCTGGGTTGAGGCTGCTGAAAAAATGATGGAGGACGGTTTGTGGCTTTTGTCTGTTCTGATTGAAAGTTGTTTTGTTGATGTTGTCTGCTCTGGTTGAAAGTTGTTTTGTTGATGTTGTCTGCTCTGGTTGAAAGTTGTTTTGTTGATGTTGTCTGCTCTGGTTGAAAGTTGTTTTGTTGATGTTGTCTGCTCTGATTGAAAGTTGTTTTGTTGATGTTGTCTGCTCTGGTTGAAAGTTGTTTTGTTGATGTTGTCTGCTCTGGTTGAAAGTTGTTTTGTTGATGTTGTCTGCTCTGGTTGAAAGTTGTTTTGTTGATGTTGTCTGCTGTTATGCCTGCTGGCGATTTCTTTAAAAAAAACATGCTTAATATGAATTTCATTTTGTCCATGAATTTGTGACCACTGTAATAGAATCACTTAACTCACAAATAAAATAGTATTTTGAATACATTAGCTGATATTTCTCCAAGCCATGTCCCTTCAGGCCTTCCAGTAGATCAGTGGTTCTCAACCTTCATAATGCTGCAACCCTTTAATACAGATCCTCATGTTGTGATGACCCCCAACCATAAAATTATGTTCATTGCTACTTCATAAATATTTGTTTTCCGATGGTCTTAGGCGACTTCTGTGTAAGAGTCAAACGCCTTTCTTTTAATCAACAAATTATTCAGGCTTCTCTAACCTTTTTATGTTAGACCACATTAGTCTGAATACATCAAAATATATTACTCTATACATAGTAACATCCATCATATCATAAACTAGGGGTTCTCCAAAATTTTCATCGTTATTCCACTTCAGTTTGTAATTTTATAAAATTGCATGTCCCTAATGTGCATATTTCATAATTTTCACTTGAAATCTGTACTTCATCTTTTGTCACCTCTGTGTACCACCTATAAAAATCGAATGCTCCCCTTGTGTTTCATGTACAACATTTTTAGAATTGCTGTTATGCACCTTTGGTCCACCCTCATTATCATTATCATAGAAAGTTGTGGCCTTATATTGCAAAAATTTCATAATAAGCGGGGGTTGAGTCTGCAATCAGGTTCGGTAGATGGAAATATGTGAAAAAAAGAATGGGAAAACCTGAAAAAGGTCAGCAGCAAAACAACAAGCATGTCGGCAAGAAGCCATGTTGGATACAACATTTCAACTGAGTGTTTAAATTTTAAAAAATATTTGTGTTACTTTTCGTTTGTACTGTTCGCTGAACTAGGCGTCTGGCGGACAGGTTCATTGTTTTGTTGCATCCTTTTTTTTTTTTCCAGGTTTTCCCATACCTTCTTTCACATAACTCCTTTATGCAAATGTGCTAGGTTGAGCATAACTAGCCAAGACTCTAATACATGTTTGTAAGTGACCGGCTCGTGCCTATGTATCGACAGGTCAAACAGAGCAGGCGGCTACACTGATGTTAAGAAGTGGTGAAACCGACAAGGCCTTGGAGTATGCCAGGTCTGGTCTTCACAAGCAGCAAACGGCTTTCATACATCTGGTTCTGGCCCACAAGCATGAAACGAAGGACAATTTCGACTTGGTAAGATCGTGCTGTGTAGTTATGGATTCGCTTGCTTTAACTCGGTAAGGTTTGAGTTTGTGGTCACTTACTTTTGCTAACATCCATTTCTCCTCATATGATTCAAACTGTGTAACACATGGCCCCTACTACCTCTCACTGCCAGAATTGACTTGAGGATCACGACAGCCAAATGTAGTATCAGTCATGGGGGCAGTCATGGGGGTGTGCTACCAGGGAACCCCAATGGAGGGCCAGCTAAATCTTTATTTTTTTAAATCATGTATAATTATTTCTTATTGACCCTACTTTTCTCTCTATCTTTGTTAGTTATGGCTGCTAAAAATCTTCTGCTTTAACTCACTGTTATTATACCACTGGGTATTTAATCAACTTTCAGAATATAATGTGTATGATTTCCTTGTACCAGTTGTTTTATTGAACAATTTTTGAATGTGGGACCATCTTCATGAGAAAATTTGTCATAAGTAGTGGTATAAAACTTAGTTAGACTAGTCTAACATTGTTTAGAACAGAAATAATGTTAGACTAGTCTAACATTGTTTAGAACAGAAATAAACAAAATGTTGGGGTGAGCATCAAACATAATCTCTGAAAATATTAAAATTTTTATAGAGAAAATCTCAAAAGGTGTTTAGTGTTTTAAAAAACACCATTATTTTTGTCATGAACATTTCATGATTTTTTTTCAGTGGTTGAATTTAAGCTGAAGACAATTATTATTTACAAGCTTAATTTTTATTTATTTTTTTTGCTTTAGGAAAAGATCAAATATCATGGCTCAAAAGCACTGGAAAGTTACATAGAACAAAGTGACTTTGGCGGGCGAGCTAAAGCCAAGCTCATTCTGGGAAAACACACAATGGATGTCAAGCTGCTGAAAGAAGGTTATAACTTTGGTTTCTTGTACACGAGACCCTATGAATACTTGTAATATTGTTCCAGTTTAAAAATTATCCAGAACATTCATCCCTATGCTGAAATTAAATATGTACAATGCAATCAAAACACTTTTGCATTCTTTGGATCAATAAAGGCTACCTTACATCATCTTGACCGTTTGAATTGTGGGAATGGAATAAACCCCTCACTCTTTGACTTTTGTATCTACAGCTTTCAATGACTTCAACAAAGAAAAGCCTCCAAACGAAGCCGGAAAGCTGGAGTGTTTTGGGGCATTCATGGAAACGAAACAAGAACCCCTGACACTTGAGGAGTGTCAGCGTGCCGTGAACAATATTAGACAAGCATTTTCTGTATGTTGGCTCATAGTATTCAATGAAAAATTGTCTCCTTATATAAAAAAAAGGAATAGGATATTATAATATTTTTTTATATATAGAAAATTGTAAATGCAATGGTAGTGATCAAATGTTAAGAATGAAATTGCGATGGAGTACTCCGACTCTGTTTATAACTTTAGAAAATGGTAAAATATATAAAATTGGAAAGTGATTGTGATGTTTTGACGCAGTAAAAAAAAAATAACACTCTTTACTTGTCGTCCACTCCAATATGTGGCCATTAGCAAACAAACAAACAGAAGTAAACAGTTGATGAACAGAAGTCATAGTGAATACAGAATCGTGTATTTATTGATGGAATATTTCCTCACTGGGTTCCAAGTATTTTTTTACGACAAGAAATTAAGACTTTTTACGCTCAAGTAAAAACTTAAAAGCACAAATTTACAAATGTGTGGATTAATATTAAAGAGGCTTAATGAACTTAACAAAGGTAAAGCACCAAATCTGTCTCGACGTATCTGGTATAATAAGTTTTATTTGTTATTCCAGTACTGTATGCATTAATCAGTTTTCATCATGCCATGTCTATCTGCAGATGGTCCAAGTCCTGAGAGACACAAAAAGAGATAAAAACGAACAGCAGCTGTTGTACTTGAGTTTTTATGGTGTGGAGCTGGACGTAGACAAACAACAAGTAACTTGGTACCCACATGAATATCCCCTGTGTCACTGCCTGATGACTTCTTTCGGGCTATTGAAAGGTGAAGTCTCAGACAAGGTGACGATGGATAAAGCTGAGGTATGTGAGATTATCTCTTGAAAGGTTACCAATTATGCCAACACAATCGGCCTTGAGGAAAGGCTGCCTGATGACTTCTTTCAGTCTATTGAAAGGTGAAGTCTCAGACAAGGTGACAATGGATAAAGCTGAGGTATGTGACATTATCTCTTGGAAGGTTACCAATTATGCCAACACAATAGGCCTTGAGGGAAGGCTGCCTGATGACTTCTTTCAGTCTATTGAAAGGTGAAGTCTCAGACAAGGTGACAATGGATAAAGCTGAGGTATGTGACATTATCTCTTGGAAGGTTACCAATTATGCCAACACAAAAAGCCTTATGGGAAGGCTGCCTGATGACTTCTTTCAGGCTATTGAAAGGTGAAGTCTCAGACAAGGTGACAATGGATAAAGCTGAGGTATGTGACATTATCTCTTGGAAGGTTACCAATTATGCCAACACAATAGGCCTTATGGGAAGGAAAATTCATCCAGCATGCAACTGAAAAGTTGCATTTAGAATATTATCCGATTCAATGTTTTGGGGAAAGTTAAACGGATCTTATTTTGTATATCTATGTGTAAATCCATTAAATTATATTTTCAGTGTTATTTACACTAAATATCAAGAGGACATCCTGGATTTTTAGGGTTAAACATATACAACATCATGCATGCTTCACTAACTAGTACACATATTCTGGTGGGGCTTTGAGCTTACGCTATTAAAACCCTGGCTTGTACATTGGCAACCAGCTCCATCTGCTGGGCTGTGGTATATAACATTGTTGTGATGTAGGACTCTTCCGCCACCCTGCCTGGCCTCCACTGCCACACCTAGCCTCCCCTGCCACATCTAGCGCTAGGCATTCCGTCAACAGATGGGCTAGAGTTTCTGGGACCGGGCTGCAATGCGGGCAGGTCGGGTCGCTGCTGTTGTCAAGTATGTGTTGACAGGGCAATGCTCACTTCTCATTTGGGTCACCGACATTAATATCTGCTGAAGCGTTACTGAGCATTTCGCTCTTGAACGGCCGCTCACGAAGAACAGCGTCCAAGACCCCGATCCGACGTATTCGTAACCGTTAAAGTCAAGACCAAGATCAAGGACCCCCCCCCCACTGAGAAGCGGTGGACGCGGAGTCACCAGACTCTGCCTTCATCGACCTAACTTCCACCAAGGGTCCTGTTTGCCAGGAAGCGGCATGTTAGTGAAGATACCTCTGGCTTTCGTGCTTCTGCCCAATGCCTGTACCGTTTTGTTTGAAAATCGTCTGCCAACCAGAGATTGGCGACTGGCCGAGGCTGGGCAGCCACGGTTTTTGCCAGTGTGTCTGCTTTTTCGTTGTCACTTACATGCCACTTTACTAAATGGTTTGCTCTACAGGTTGTCTGCGCCCTTGACAAGCAACTTTTGTCCTGGATCAGTTCTTGGAGCCTGAAGGTGAAACAAAGCTTGGATGTGTTGGTACCACCACATCTGCTGTGCAGCAATTATTTGGAAGGTCTACCCTGTGATCTGGCCACTTGCAAAAATAAACATGGCAGGTACTCTGCAGAAGAAACTGATGCCCTCAACATGCTTAATACTGCTGTGAGTTTTTTTTCTAAAAGTCATCCATTGATATTTGTTTTTTTAAAGTCATTCATGTTTTTTTTTTGTTTTTTGTTTTTTTGTTGTTGAAAATATTAATTTTATTTGAACACGCTGTTGGTAGGTGTTCATCAATTCTAAAACTTTAAAACTAATTCCAAATATTGTAATTTTGTAGAGTGGTTCTGGTGCTAGAGCCAGCACTTTATTTGTGATGCAGGCGCCAACTTGTTCCAGTTAATCAGTTTAAATTTTAAAAAAAACAACTATTGGCAAGGGAGATAACTCATAACTTATTCCCCTCATCTGTCATGGTTACGAAAATATTAAAACAAGAAAATACAATGTCATCACTCGTGAAACAATTCTTGTATCCCCAGGCACTTTTTGACCATCATCTACAAACAGGGTTAGAGAACCTTACAGAGGAAAACAACTTGAAGTCAGACTTAGACAGTCTGACCAATGTCTCAGTCAAGTGGAAGTCAGCCAAAGATCTGCTCCGCTTCTTAGTGCCACTGTACCCATCACAAAATAGGACAGCCTTTGATAAGGTCAAACCACTTGTCGCCAAGGCACGGATCAGCAAAGACTCAGTTGCCCAAGTTGAGAGGTGAGTTCACTAGCCATAAGTGTGACATTTATCTTGTTATTTTCAAATTGTGCGTCTTTAACTTCAGGCTTGCAGTCGGCTTCTTTAACTACCACATCAGAGAAAAAAATCTTTTTTGGTGAATCTGTTACATTACAGGAAGGCTTTAACACAAACCATTTATTTACTTACTTAAAATACATCCTTTGAGGGGTGAGTTGTGTCGACGCCCGAACAGGTCATACTTACTTATCAGCCCCACCAATACCAGAAAAACTAATTGGCATAAATCCAGATACCTTGAGTCAAACATGGATCGAGAGTCTCTAAAGAGAATTAAAAATACCACCTGCAAACCTTATTTTGCCAATATAATGAAGTGAGCTAACTTCTACCTTGAGCTCTGAAGGCTGTACCGGCCAATGGAAATGCCCATGATTCTTCATAAAAACACAACACCTTGCCCTGTCTTCTTAGTTTTGCTAGTGATATTTGAAGCAAAATTATCTCTTTTTGATGGATTTATCCCCCACACCCCAAAAATAATAATAATTTCATCAAAACAAAATTAAGAAAACACAAACAACATGACATAAGGACAAATTATTTAGTTTGACAATCTTGCCTTGAATTAAAAATAGCTTTTTTTTTATGTTGGTCTGTGTATATATTGATCAAGCAGTGGTTTTAATAAATTTTTTTACTGTCAAGATAGATGTCAATAAACAGTGTGAGGTGAATTGATGGTGTGCGACCTTGTGATGAGAGTTTGTAGGTACAGAGATGCAGAGTTAGTGGGTTGAGAGCCGTCTTATTAAAGTGTCCGTAGTCCTCTATCCCCGTGTTTAGTTAGGTGCTGAGAATTAATGTGTAGTTTGATTCTGAGAGGATTAGTTTTGTAGGTCGTCAGAGTCCTGTAGCTTCATGCTGAGGTAACGGCCATGTCAATAAAGAACATAATTGGACAGTCTGTTGGTATTCTCTGAATTGTTAAACCCAAGTGTGGCTAGCAAGTGGAAAAAACGATACCCTAGACAACGTTGAGCTTTATGAACTGCCCGTCAGTAGAATGCTTACTCTGGGGCCAAGTAACATGCATTATATAAGTATACAACCTATACCTTACAACATAAACCAGCATCAAATAAATCTCTTACAGATACCTGACCTACTTGTGGCAAAATCCAGGCCGAGTTGGCAAGGGAAAGTCCAAGAATGTCATCAAGGAGCGATGCAAGTCATGTGACTGGATTGTCCAGGCCTGTTTCTTTTCAGCCTTATTGAACTTCGAACACCTTAATGTTGCCGATGAGGTGCAGAGCTTAGAGGTAAGAATACAACAATTGTCACTGTACCCTTGGGCTTCATCGTCACTGTACCCTTGTGCTACAGCTTGTTAATTTTTCTAAAGAAAAGAAAAAGAAACAATGCATACAGTTACATATAGTAGCATTTCCCTCTTGTTACTGATGATTTCATCATAAACCTTGCTCTCGATAAAACCATTTTTTTATTCTTAACGTCAGTGAAATGAGTCAGGGTCATTTAATTTGGAGAAATGTATATCCTCTGATTTTTTTGAGGTCATGTGCGTAGAAAATACATTTTAGAGATGGTGCACATTTTTGTGCGCACTGTAATAAGGCAAATCTAAAGATTTAAATTGCCTTGTTAATAGTATTCAAATTAAATGGATTGGTGTGCTAGGAAATTATGAGTTAATAATAAATAATTAAAAAATCAATTATTTTCATATAAAAATCTCGTGTGCCCACTTAACTTTATGCCTGCCCTGGCTCTATGAGATGTGCTCATGCACAAATGAGGAAACAATGTGCTCGTTTCCCAACCCCAGCGAATAAATGCTGTGATCTTTCAACTATTACCTGGATAAATCTCCAATATAAGTTTCTAGAAGCAAACATTATATAAGCATGATAATAAGCAATCATGCTACTGTTTTGAGCTACTGCAGAGCAACAAAATTGTAAAGATTGATATCATTTGGAATGCACCACTTAGTTCCTGAAAGGGCTAAATATTATCATACTACACAAATTAAACTTTGGGTGCTATATGTGAGTTATTTCTTTTTCAAATACTTTTAAAACCATATTAATAATCTAATTTCATTAAAATGTTTGATACATTTCAGAAACATCTAATGACCAATGTAAAGCCCTGGTTTCACAAAGGGCAGAAGTATGCCCTCTTCAAACCAAGCCGCAGCAGAACTGATAATAAAGTAATGGTAGAGACGATTGGCACCCGTTTCATTGAGTCTATGGAGTTTTTGAAAAATGAACAAGACCCTAAAGAAGCTGTGTTTTCCTTCACCAAAATGATCAGCATACTTGGCACGCGCAATAAACTTCCGCTGATGCCGGCCATGGAGCACCTGGTCTTTTGGATGGAATTCCATTTCTGTCTGTTATGGTTCTTCATTGCCCAAGTTGCTGTCGTAAGTAGAGTGTGGTGAGAGTGTCCTGTTGTGGACCGAGGGAAATGTACATACCAATGTTAAAATCGTAAATGTATACAGCTAAAAAGCTACTGCGTAAGAAACAATATTTCTTTTAAATTATGATCAATATCCTCCCTTAAAAGTAGTTACCTCCCTTCCAAGATATCCTGCTACCATGTTTTGTCTGTACCGGTATCTGAGAGTACTAAATTAATCCATCCCATCCCTGTGGCACAGCAGCCCAAGTAGGGCTTTGGCCTGTCTCAACACTTCTTTCTAGTCAGACCTAACTGATCCTTTTCTTTTCCATAGTGTCCAGCCCAGGGAACCTGCCCTTTTTATTTCTGCTATGGGGGGGGGGGGGATCCTGATATAGTTTATACAATTAAATTGTGGATTTGCATTCTCCATCCATATTCATCCTTTGTTCGTCCATATATTTTGCGGATCCCTTTTCTCTCCCATAGGGACCTTCCCTTTTTTATTCTGGTATGGGGGGGGGGGGGATCCTGATATAGTTTATACAATTAAATTGTGGATTTGCATTCTCCATCCATATTCATCCTTTGTTCGTCCATATATTTTGCGGATCACTTTTCTCTCCCATGTGTTCAATAGGTTTTCTGCTTTTTTTGTTAGGGTCCAATTTTTACCGACAAATGTGACTACTGATCTGATCACAGTTTTTAATGGTTTTCTTTGTTTTTTGAAAATGCTTTTTCTTTGTTAGTATTGAAGAATGTCATTTTTCCGACCGTTATTCTCTCTTTTATTTATCTTAGCTAGTCTCAAAAAGTTTATATCAACCTTCACTACACAGGGTTTTGATAAAGCAAGTTTTAAATTATTTAAAACTATATAAGATAAGGAAAGATTATTTTATTGATCCAAATAAATGGAAATGTTTTTTTATTACATTATCAGACCTGTTTACTCTTACGATTTTGGCATACAATGTACAATTTTTAGATGTATACATGTTTATTTTTTTACTATTAAGATTTTGTGATGATATTGTACGATTTTAAAAGGTCTGCATTATACTTATTCATTTCAGCACATAAATAAATACATGTCTTACCACGACAATATTTTACAATTAGAAAAATTTAAACACAAGACATCCAAAGTATTTCTCTAGGGTAAAAATCAGCTGTTGCATGTCAACTTAAATATGCTTTCATTAAAAGAGAAAAGGATTTATTTTTTAACTGAATTTTAAATTATCTACAGGGAAGCCACACAAATCCATTGAAGCCTCCCTTCTATGTGACCAGCACCATGTTTGCTAATGTTAATCTAGTCAATACTTTGATGGGAGATAGTACCATACAAGAACTGGTGATACTCTATGAGCGCCATGAGATCAAACCCATGTTCAAAAGACAAGATCATCTCTGCAACTTCCTTGTTGGAAACAATAAATTTAGGTATAAAAAAACTTTTAGCATAAGCAAAATTTAATATAACATCAGCTCAGCTAAAATCTTATCTTCCATGCATTAGAAATATATATATATACACACACACACATAGAAATAACCCGCCAAACAATGGAGACGGCAATGCCTATTGAACACAGCGTTACAGCCAGCCATAAATAGATACCTATAGCATTATTAGTTGTCATATGTAATATTAAGTTTTGTGAACAACAGTCCAGTAGAGATGAGAAGATGTCAAAGAGTTTGAGTACCATGTAATCAAGAACTGTTTCAAAATTGTGTTTGTTAAAACTATCAGTGAAAAAAATGCTTTCAATCTTTGTATTTTCATCAAATTTGATCAAAATAATCATAATCCCCTTCCATATAGTCAATGTAACGTCTCGATAATTAGACTATATTTTATTTTCCTTTTATTTGAATCAAATCTTATCTCCTCTAAAAGATCCTAAGTGGAAAATTTGCTTGGCTGTTTAAAAAGAATAATTAAAAGAAAGGCTTGCAGTTGATTAACTGATCAGTAAAAAGGAGTATCATTATTATTCGTATTTCTGCACAGTGCTTTCAGTTTAATCAACTATTTCAATGATTTGTGTGCATCGAGCCCGGCCCAGCATGCACTTGCCGAACGTGTTTTACTTCTCACTGTCATCACCCTACTCAATATCCCAGAAGGTTTTGTCTCGTCAGACTATGAGGTGCCAATTAGGATAGAACTATTCAAGGTCGGTTTCGGTTTAATACATGCATCTATTGCCCTGGTAAATTAGGTTTCATAAGTACTCATTTATTTTTCAAACTTCTGCTGATTCTCTCAAACAAGAAATATTTTGCTATGAGATCATGCCTTTGCATGTTTATAAAAAAAATAATTACTTAAAATGTTTGAAATTTTGAAAACCTGAAAATATTCAACCCCCAAGTTTACCATACGGAATATATCTTTACTGTTATTTTGTTTGGATGTGTTGAACAAGTGTAACAAATCTATTTACAGTGACAGCAAAAGTTCCACAGAAGAAACAAATTTAGCATAAAAAAAGTTCCACTGTTTAAGTAGTGATTTAAAGTTGTAATAAAAAAAAACAAAAAAAAACATTTAATGCATAAACTACATATTTTTTAATGTGTGCCTGTCTTTATTACAGCTCCATGTTACAGAATCAATGCCATCATCCCTTCAACTGTTTTTAAATGAAATAAAAAAGGCTGCAACTTACAAGGACGTTGCTGTGGCGGCAATGACCTACTTAAGAACCCGAGGTCATGTGAATGTGTTCCAGTGCCAGTGGCTTGGTCGTTCCACCTGCCAAATGAACTGGAAGGAGTTTCAAGTAGCAGACTATTCCAAGCAGAGTTTTTCTAACATCAATCTACAAGATCTGGTCAAAAGCAGCCTGCAGCAAGTTCAGGTGGACATCTTGAATAATTATTTTATCTCTTGTAAAAATTCACTACTACATAACCAATGAGTTTACATTGTAAAATAAAAAGTAATAATTTTGTTTAAAGTTTTTCAATTTTTAGCGTTTCAAAGAATGTTGCTACAGATAGGCCCTACTTAGTTAACGAAGATTAAAAGTAACTTGTGTAATGTGGTAATCTGAAAATTTTTCTCTCAATCATTCTTATAATCAGACATCCCCCAGGAGCAGTGTAATGTAGCAGTGTCATTTAATAAAAGCAAAATATATTTCATCCTCATTTTTATTATTTTATTTATTTGTCCCTTCCCAGGCTTTCCCACTCTTTGTTTCACTCATTTCCTTTTACCCAACCTGATTGCAATCACTCCACACCCCCTATTACCAATCACCATAATAAAAGCACACTATATTGTTGAAAATAGGATTCAGTGATGAATTGTTCAACAAACATGCAAGGTATCATAACTGCCATTTAACCATGCTCTTCCAGGTACCTATCCATGGAGATGAGCCGGATGTGATGGATGAAGAGGACCTGAGGAAAATGGAGGCGAAGAAGTTGGCCATAGAAGAAGAAGAAAAGAGAAAAACTTCGATTAAGGTAATAATTTGAAGTTTCATTGGTTAGGTTTATCAGAAGGTACCACTTGAGATAGTTCAGACATTGGTTAGTTTTATCAGAAGGTAAAAATTGAAATAGTTCACCCATTGGTTAGGTTTATCAGAAATTAACCATTGAAATAGTTCCGGCCATTGGTTAGGTTTATCAGAAGGTAGCTATTGAAATAATTGAGCCATTGGTTAGGTCTATCAGAAAGTAACAATTGAAATAGTCAGGCCTGAGAAGGGATTTTACTTTATCTTATGCCTCCTCATTTTCTATGTTGGTTTTCCAGAAAATCATTCGCCTGCTCAAAGTAAATGTCATGCTCAAGAGACTGGAGAGAAAATCTTACAAGAACTTTGAATGGGAAGAGCTGTTTCGAAATTACACCATAAGTAGTCAGTCTTGTGGAATATGTGGTACAACATTTGAACCAACAGATGGTGATGTAGATCCTTCTAGTGAAGGTATGTTAGAACTGTACCCGGAATTTTGTATGAAACCAAAATGGACGAGGGAATCTTGTTCGAACTGAAGTTTGTTTGAATGGATTTAATGGTTTTAACAAAATATATTTTTTTAAATTAAATTTTTAAAAGTTTACATTTTCCCCATTTCTCACGTGCACCTTCCCTTTAGCACAGTTAATTTTTAAAAATCTCTGTTGAAAAAATTTCATTTTGAACAAGCTTCCATTCTAGAGGTTGGTTTTGATACTACTTCTAGTGAAGGTATATTAGAACAGTTAGTTGCTGATGTAGATCCTTCTAGTTCTAGTCAAGGTATGTTAGACATTTTTAAGTAAAGAATAAAGGTGTCCCTCATTAAATCTGATCCACTTTACATGTATGACATGGTGTGCTCTCTGTATGGGATCGACTTTACATGTATGACATGAGGTGCTATCTGCATGTGATCGTGTAAACAGCCAATCTATCAGGTTATATTTCTTAAGTTTCACTAACAGTGTGCATCGATAAACGTTATACTTATAAGTCTCTTTAATGAACAATTCAGTTTGTATTTTCGTTGTGTACTAATTAAAGTTAAGTAATTGGTTGAGAAGAGAAAATATTAGTTGATATTAATCCAAATGTGTTGGTGTATTATGGAATTGGGGGAAAAGTGTTGGGGGTTTTTTTTTGGGAGGGGGGGGGGGTTACCAGATATTCCCTTGATATTAACAAGCTTGAATTCTGTGTTTTATTGCGCAGACATCTCCGATGTCCCAGTTCTGCAGACCAGGGATGCCCACAACAAAACTGAGGCTCACCAGAAAGCATACAAAGACTTTGTGGCATTTAAACAAGTTTATGGCTCTCAAGTTAGTACTCTTTTAACTAAGTGTTAGATTGTACAAAGACTTGTGGCATTTAAACAACTTTATGGCTGTCAAGTTATTACTCTTAAGAATAAGTGTTAAATTGTACAAAGACTTGTGGCATTTAAACAACTTTATGGCTCTCAAGTTAGTACTCTTACAACTAAGTGTTAAATTTTACAAAGACTTGTGGCATTTAAACAACTTTATGGCTCTCAAGTTAGTACTCTTAAAAATAAGTGTTAAATTGTACAAAGACTTGTGGCATTTAAACAACTTCATGGCTCTCAAGTTAGTACTCTTAAAAATAAGTGTTAAGTTGTACAAAGACTTGTGGCATTTAAACAACTTTATGGCTCTCAAGTTAGTACTCTTACAACTAAGTGTTAAATTGTACAAAGACTTGTGGCATTTAAACAACTTTATGGCTCTCAAGTTAGTACTCTTAAAAATAAGTGTTAAATTGTACAAAGACTTGTGGCATTTAAACAACTTTATGGCTCTCAAGTTAGTACTCTTAAAAATAAGTGTTAAATTGTACAAAGACTTGTGGCATTTAAACAACTTTATGGCTGTCAAGTTATTACTCTTAAGAATAAGTGTTAAATTTTACAAAGACTTGTGGCATTTAAACAACTTTATGGCTCTCAAGTTAGTACTCTTACAACTAAGTGTTAAATTGTACAAAGACTTGTGGCATTTAAACAACTTTATGGCCCTCAAGTTAGTACTCTTAAAAAAAAGTGTTAAATTTTACAAAGACTTGTGGCATTTAAACAACTTTATGGCTCTCAAGTTAGTACTCTTACAACTAAGTGTTAAATTGTACAAAGACTTGTGGCATTTAAACAACTTTATGGCCCTCAAGTTAGTACTCTTAAAAAAAAGTGTTAAATTGTACAAAGACTTGTGGCATTTAAACAACTTTATGGCTCTCAAGTTAGTACTCTTACAACTAAGTGTTAAAATTTACAAAGACTTGTGGCATTTAAACAACTTTATGGCTCTCAAGTTAGTACTCTTAAAAAAAAGTGTTAAATTGTACAAAGACTTGTGGCATTTAAACAACTTTATGGCTCTCAAGTTAGTACTCTTAAAAAAAAGTGTTAAATTGTACAAAGACTTGTGGCATTTAAACAACTTTATGGCTCTCAAGTTAGTACTCTTACAACTAAGTGTTAAATTTTACAAAGACTTGTGGCATTTAAACAACTTTATGGCTCTCAAGTTAGTACTCTTAAAAAAAAGTGTTAAATTGTACAAAGACTTGTGGCTTGTGGCATTTAAACAACTTTATGGCTCTTAGAGTGATAAATTTAAACACAGACGTTCTTTTACAAATAAAACTTTTTATTTGTAAAACAAAAATGGGGACTGTAGTCTATAAATGCAATTCAATTTTATCATGGTTCCCCCCCACACAACTTTTATTTCTAACTTTCAGATACACTCTGCGTTAGACGTTGTCAAGCGGTTCCTGATCGGCAATCAGGTGGAGGAAAATTCAACAATTTACACAGAAGTGCGGTTTGATGTGTCCAAGCTGCTCAATGCCTTCACTGATTTCAACAGTCTCTTCAATACTGTTTTGATACAAAGAAAATGGTCTGAGCAACAGGCTGTACTAGATGCATTCAGAAATTTACAGGATGAATTTTCAAGGAAAAAGGACAACATAGCTTCTCAATTCCACAGGTTTCAGGTGGGGTATATTTTATCATGTTTCTTTTATAGTGGGCCACATTTTTTTTAGAATGATAACCCTACACCTAGTAATCTGATCTCACGAAAAAGTTTTTAAATCAATTTTCTTTTCAAGGACCCAATTTTTTTTAATTTTTAAAAAAAATTAAAGAATGATAAGCTGGCATTCAAACTGTCAATATCATGCTAAGATTTCCAATAAGGGAAATAATGAATACTACATTACAGCTAAGTGTTATTTTTATTTAATTATATTTTTAATAATAATAATAATAAAGTCCATTTCAAAGACACGCTTCATCCCTAATTAATGCTCAAAGCGCGGTACAAAGTCAACCGTATAGGACAATTTATATTTTTTCACATTACTGTTGTTTGTTCGCTGATGAAGGCTTCTTGCTGACACGTTCGTTGTTTTTTTGCATTATTTTTTTCAGGTTTTCCCATGCTTTTTTTCACTCATTTTCTTGTTTGCTAGCCCTGATTGCAGTCTCTCCCCCTTATTGCCATAAATATCTCTAAATACTTTATTTTATGTTCAACACATTTGGGTAACAATTTTGAATTGTGAATGCTAGTGTTTTTTAAATAGGTAAATGGATGATCCACCAAATTTAATTAGTACCACCAGCAAACTATTTTGAAAGAAAAAATCCGTAAATGAAGTTAGTAAAACATGTGTGAAAATATCCTTTTAACTCCTTTATGAGGAGACATCAGTAAGCCTAATGTAATTATTTGAGGTTAAAAAAGTTTAACTTTTGATCTTTGAGTAACTTGCTTTTTTATGATGTTATTGCAGAAAGGAGAAGGTAACCCAAACACACGAGAGAGAACTGACAGGGATCAGGAAGTGACGGAAGGTGTTTTAGATATTGAACCAACCGCAGCACAAGACCACGGCAAACCGGTGCAGGAGAACTTTAGGACGCAAAGGAGGTCACGTCAAAACCGAAGACCAGATTACAGGCGAGAGGGGAGACAACACTATGAAGATTATCCACCGGAAGGCAACTATCATTATGATCAGGCCCCCAGACGATTCAGACAAGCATATCATGGTCAAGAAAGACAAGGATATTATTATGGACAAGAAAGGCAAGACTATGAAGGAAGACCTGACTATTTCAGGCTGGAGAACAGAGGAAATCGCAGAGGTGGACAAAGATATTTTACTAAAAACAGGGATAGTTATATGAAGGACCTTCCTCCTAGATTCAAAGATCAGTTTAATCATTAACAAAATATTTAATAGAATTTTTTTTTGTTTTTAATTCTACATGTTCAAAAACAGCCATGTTTTACTGAAATATTTTCTTTCAAATTGTTGCTGTAAAATTGGACCAAACACTGGCCTCTTTGTTGAGCCATGAGTTTGAATATGATTTAATCAGCATGGGTGAAGGCAAAGGTGGATTAAAGCAGAGTAGTGTAACAATGGGGTAATGTAACAGTAGAGTAGTGTAACAATAGGGTAATGTAACAGTAGAGTAGTGTAACAATGGAGTAATGTAACAGTAGAGTAGTGTAACAATGAGGTAATGTAACATTAGAGTAGTGTAACAATGGGGTAATGTAACAGCAATGTTAAAACAAATGCAAAAATGGATCAATGAAAAAATGCAATGGCAGATTTAAAAAAAAAAAATTTTAATGGTCAGTGCAAAAATTGATCAGTATGACAGGTTAGTATTGCAAAGATGCCTTCATGTAAATGTAACGTGCCTGTAACCTAAAAGATATTGTTAATTATAGATCTTACATGGTGAGAATAATCATTTTTTTTTTGTTGAGAAAATCAAAATATCCTTGGTTGGTTGGTTGGTTTTTCCTCACAATCTCGTGTCTGTCAACTGTCGCTAGATTTCATTCCAAGCTGAGCACATATTTTTGTTCTACTGTTGAGGTTTCTGCTGTTCCTCAACTAGACACAAATACTGTGTGTTAGGATTTTGTTTGGTTTTATTTGTAACTGCTCCTGTATTACACTGTCATTAAGTTTTTATGATTAATTTTAAATGTATGGCCTTTTGTTTTTTCTTTTTATTTATAACAGTTCATCATAAATAGCTTTACACATTTTGGTTTCAATGAAAATACAATCTGTTTCAAATTTTTTTGTTTTTGAATTTCAGCTTCTGGTCTTCATTTTTTTTTTTTGTAGTTTTTTTTTTTTTTTTTTTTTTTTTTTTTTTTTTTAATTTTTTTTTTTTTTTTTTTTTTTTTTTTTTTTTTTTTTTTTTTTTTTTTTTATTTTTTAATTTTTTTATTTTTTTTTTTTTTTTTTTTTTTTTTTTTTTTTTTTTTTTTTTTTTTTTTTTTTTTTTTTTTTTTTTTTTTTTTTTTTTTTTTTTTTTTTTTTTTTTTTTTTTTTTTTTTTTTTTTTTTTGTAATTTTTTTTTCTTAAATTGTTTAACTATTATTTTTCTATTGATATATTTTCTGTTTTATTATCAGTGATATGACAATATTTTCAAGAGTTGATTTGTGTCAATTCTCAGTTGATCTCTGTCACTAGTGTGATAACATCATGACTATGTTGTATCTGGTTTTATCCAAAAGAATTAATTTCTTTATTGTTTTAATCCTTGTAAAAAGTGTTGCACCTTTTATTTTGCTTTCTTCTTCTTTGTGTTTAAACAGAAATGAATAAAAAACTTGAGTTAACCACACGGGGGTTATGTTTGAGTCTATTTAAATTGTTATCATGTCCAGTCAGTGGGTGAGACAGCACCTTTTCCACTCATTAAACATTGACAGGCAGGCCTTTTGGTCACGTTTATCAGAATTTGTAAGCAGAGGTCATTGACACTGGTTAAAAAATATCTTGATGCAGTTGAAAGGTGTCTTTGACACAAAGTGACAGAGGTGAAAGGTGTCTTTGACACACAGTGACAGAGGTGAAAGGTGTCTTTGACACACAGTGACAGAGGTGAAAGGTGTCTTTGTCACTGACAGAGGTGAAAGGTGTCTTTGACACAGTGACAAAGGTGAAAGGTGTCTTTGACACACAGTGACAGAGGTGAACAGTGTCTTTGACACACAGTGACAGAGGTGAAAGGTGTCTTTGACACACAGTGACAGAGGTGAACGGTGCCTTGATTTATACAATGCCTTGACACAGGTTGAAATTGGAAATGTTTGATACATAGGATGAAATGTGTCTGGACACGGTTGAAATGAGTCTCGACACTGGTTGAAGTGTCTTCAATTTGGGGGCGTCAGTTTATTTCTGTTCTTTATCCAGCTCCACTGTGATCATTTCAATGATAAGTGCCCAAAGAGGTCAGTGTGTGACTAAACAATAAGCCAGGAAATTCGAGTCATAGAGTCCAAGTTTGTTGCCAGATTGAATCGTTCCATACTCGTTTATTACAATTGTCGTCCAGCCGCGTGTTCTAAAAGGCGAGGCGCTAGATTTATTATTGTAGTGAAAATGTAAACACGTTTGATACTGTCCCGCATGCAGACACGTCACGTCACGTGTCAATAGGAATGTGAAATCATCAACTAACCTAAAAAAGACAACAACAAAAACATAGTTGCAGACTTGATCCTTGCTCGGCACCGGAATGTAAACAAAAGAGTTCGTCAAACAGGGGCATTTAACTCTTGACAAGGAATCAACATACACAGATGATGGCAGCATGCCAACATTTAAATAATGTGGTTGTTTTATTTTTATACCAAGGCTTCTGCGCATGCATTGGCCATTTTTTTAAACACGGCAGTTATTCTTAAATGAAAACCTTGTGGCTGCCGAGTTTCGCGCCTTTTGGGGCCAGGTAACTAGAAATCCAAGTATTTTATTTACATATTTTAATGGTATTGGGCGTGTTTTATTCGATCTTGCTCTTACATATTTAAATGCACAATGTAGGGCTATATATATAACCTTACAGTGATTCGCATTGCGGACATCTCCACAAATGAGTTACTCAAATTAAGGGGAGAGAAGACAAATTAAAGGGAAACAAAACAAGTCGTAAATTTTCTTGTAAAAATTATAATCAAGTGTTGATCAAGGTGACGGATACGGCTTGTATGCGAGGGAGGGGTGGGCAGTGGTGTACCTTGATTAAATACATCCGGGTCGAATTCCCCAAAAGTGCCCCCTCCCCCCGCCCCCAAGACACGCACTCATCATCTATGTGACATCACTCTCCCGAGCGTCACGCGTGGTCCTGGCTGTCGACTATTTTGCAACCACTAGATGGAGTTACGCCCCCGTGGAAAAGGCAAAATTTTATCTGCCGGTCTTAGGGGTCGTTCGCAAATAACGTCACGCTAAAAATGACCTTTTTTAGACTCCCCCCTCCCCCCTGCCACAAAGTGTCACACATTCTTTACCCCCCCCCCCCTCTCTTTATTGTCACGTCACACCTAAAAAATTCAAAACATACATAAAATGTTCATAGCTAAACTTAGATTTTTATTTAATTCCTTAGCATTTTCCCCATAATGGATTAAGATGTGGTATTATTAGAAAACTGTGACGCGAAACAACGAAGTCCTCCACAAAGCCGAACGTAAAATGGCCAGTTGAATGAGTTTCACGGTACTTATAATACCTGAGGCAATTTCGACCTCAAATTAATGTTTTTTAAAATTAATTGAACAAAGATTTTTCAAAATTAGAAAATTTTGGATTTAAAAAAAAAATGATAATAATATTGGACAAAAAAATAATCGTGACGTCACAAATTATTGACCACCCCCTCGTCCCCCCCCTGAGCGGGACGTCAGTTGCGAGCGACTCTTTAATGCGACACTGTGGTTGCTTCCGAAATTCGCGCCCCTGTAAAGCCACAGACGCGCACACAATCTATTCCCATTAAAATTTGTCAACCAATGAGATAGGCAGTTGGGATGTTGGAACAAACAGGTCCCTTCAGTAAGGGCGTAGCTAGGGTTAGTGCCGCCCGGGGAGGGTCGAGAATTTTGGCAGCCACTCCCACTTAAAAAAAAAAAAACAAAAAAAAATGCCACCCTTCCATAAAAGAAAAAAAGTACCCATGGGAGGTTGGAACAAACAGGTCCCTTCCGGAAGGGCGTAGCTAGGGTTAGTGCCGCCCGGGGAGGGTCGAGAATTTTGGCAGCCCCCCCCACTTAAAAAAAAAAAAACAAAAAAAAATGCCACCCTTCCATATAAGAAAAAAAGTACCCCCCCCCTGCTTCCTACGCCACTTCTCTACAGTGTCATAACCTGCGTATGATTGTAACATAATCTTCATGCCCTGACCACACTTCATTTAAAAATTTATTTTTTGTCACATTCATGCAACTGAACGTCTGTAAAAAGTGCCCTGTATGATATCTCGTTTTGGTAAAATTGGATTGATCGGACCAGAGACTTTTCGCCATTTTTAGCACAACTTTTGTGTTTTCATTTTTTGTTGTCAGACTCAGCATCAAATCAGCAGACACGTAACAATCTATAGAACTATATCGTAGCTACTTTACGGCTTGTCCATGTCCTCACGTCTACATAAGGTAAGTCTGTATAAGGTAAGTCTGTATAAGGTAAGTCTGTGTAAGGTACGTCTGTATAAGGTAAGTCTTTATAAGGTAAGTCTGTATAAGGTAAGTCTGTTTAAGATAAGTCTGAATAAGGTAAGTCTGCTTTAGATAAGTCTGCATAAGATAAGTCTGTATAAGGTACGTCTGTGTAAGGTAAGTCTGCATAAGGTACGTCTGTATATAAGGTAAGTCTGTACAGTGAATTAAATGATCTCCATTGCTTGGCCATAACCCTATCTTTACATTTGTGCGTATCGGTATAGACTAGTGGTTAGAAAATCGCGCCTCTTTATCGACCTGAGTGCGGCTCGGCCAGCCGGCCACAAATCGGTTTTGACTCCAAAAAAACTTGGTTCTTCGCAGGTTCTTGAAAAGAAATTTGGCTCTCAAAAAAAATTTACTTGTCCTGCTGCTGATTTTTGTGCATGGCTCTTTTGACTAATGAGTTTGCCGACCATTGGATAGACCAATTGTGTATGAAGGCCCGGGGGTGGGGGGGGGGTTGTCTGCCTGCCCCTGGAGGCATCGTTTTCTTTCTGTAGGGGTCGGTGACAATTTCAACGCCAAAGACTTTCTAAACGTAACTATCCATGACTAGCACTTGTTATGA